GCCAAATAAATCCTTCCCATGCCTCTGACACATATGGGAAATTATTTTTCCATGAAAAGAGTCAAACCTGCAAACTTATTCTATGAAAGGATAAGTTAGGTTCCTTATTTCACTCTTGGGGACCTCTCAGATTCACCCCAGTGAGGTCTTCTTTTGGTGAGCCAGCCAGGAGGTAAAAAAACATTGACATGGTGACTTTGGCAAGTCCAGCCAAATGCTTTTCATTTTTTGCTTTCCCTCTCCCTTCAAGCCCTTGCCCTCTGAATCATAGTTTTCCCAACCCCTTAGCCTCTGAAGCATAGCCTATAAACTCAATCCAAAAAAGGAGTTCCCTCATTTTCTTTTATCCCTCCTCTCTCTCCTAAGAAAACCCCTTCTCTCCCACTCAGGTTTTAATCTGTCAGAAATCTCAACTCCTTTAAATTTACTGATACTGGTTATCAGGGAGAGATAGGCATGGAGAGTGGAGGGGATTAATGGGAGCTGGGGACTCAGGAAGTTTGCTCATGGTTCCAGGGACAGTTCCTATTGTGGTGGCCCGTGCGGGAGGAGAAAAGGAAAGTGTATAGCCTCTCTATTTTCCCAGCTAGTAGGAGAGGCACACAGGTCCATGGAAGGCCTCTATCTCAGTCCTTCTCTGAGAACAGCCTACCAGAACATTCCGTGGTCCTGCAACTACTGTTGAGTCCTACTTGCGATGGTTATTTTTTCTGGAGCCTCTTTCAGTTACTTCTCTAATGCTAGCTTTCCTCCCATCATTTAAATTCATTCTGGTATACTTATGATAATTTTAGCCACAAATTTATCTCCCTACCTAAAATGGTATGTGATCTGTAGTTGCTAAGTGATATCTCCAAACTATAAGCAGCACACAAGGTAGCAACTAAGCAAAACAATTTAAACATATTAGAACAACAGTCATGACTAGCTACGCTGTACCAGCACACTTAATGTTTTTTAAAAACATAAAGCAAATCATAAATAATAGTATTAATGGCAGGTGTGGTGATGCACACCTGTAATCCTACCACCTGGGAGGCTGAGGCAGGAGAAACTTTATTTATGGGGCCCAACACTGACTCCAAAAACATCACCGCACTACGTACAGAAAGACAATTGGGACTCAAAACTTTCTCGAGTGTGGTTTCTAGTACTTAGTAAAATTTACCTCAAAAATAATGGGAAAAAAAAAAAAAAAAAAAGAAGCAGCAGCAGAAAGTCAGAGTTGAGAGGCCATAGTAGCAAAAGAGAGTTGTCCTTATCAATTGTAGCCATGACTTTAAAAAGCATATTGCAAGTGGAGAAAAAAAGGAAAAAACACAAACCATTGCCACTTGGAGGTTTTGCCTTCTATCAAGCTTGGTGGGATCTCCAACTCTGAAACACCTATCATCATATAAACTCAGACCATTGCCTCATGGAGTTGAAGAATGAAATTGAGGGAAGAATGGAAGTGAAAGGGTTAGTATTTATTGGAGCTATAAGAAGAAAAATAGCTCCTAGTGGGCAGCTCGTGAGGGTCCCATGTGGTTCACCATGTAGCCCCTTGGTCCAGAACTTATTATGGATAAGTAGAGTAGAGGAATTGCTCATTGCTTCCTGACCACCTGCTGCAGCAGCTCTGTACAATGACCAGTTGGAACTCAGGCTCTCTAAACTAGTTATTCAGCATGCACAGTTTCAAGGAAACCACGATTTTAAAGAAAAAGCAGTTATTTTCTACTTTTAAATGCCTCAAAACTCAGGAACTTAGTAGCGAAGGCCTGTAATTCCCTTGGTAGGAGGGGCTTATATTTTATGTTGTCTGAAGACCTCCTTGGTCACTGCCTATTCTTATTTTAATTTTTATCATTGTGGATCATTGCCCAGCTCTATCTCAGGCCCCTTTCTCTAGCTAGCTGTCTATTCATAAGCTAACTACAAAACTGTCTTTTACATTAGCCTGGCCAAAGTTACTCCAAACAATCTTCTTAAGGGCAGCTACATGAAATCAGAACATACTTTCAGTTCTACAGGCCCTGTTGTATCACAATAAAGTCATCTTTTTCTAAGTCACGAGTAAGTAGAACTTCTCTAAAGAGCTACACAATACCATAAGCACTTATATTCTTGAGCAAATCACAACAGAGCTCTTCAAACATACTCCAGTGTCTCTAGCTTCTTAAGTTTCTTAATCCAAACTTTCCTGTAACGAAATAGTCTAAGAAACTTGAACTCCAGTTTGGCTCACAAAGAAGTCACTGAATATCTCAATATCCAAAGTGATTAGCATAAACCCCCACATGTGTTCGTAAGAACCTCTTGGGCAATGAAAATGAAGGATGAGGCCTTAGTGTCTCCACAGGATTAAGTTAAGCTTTAAGTACGTAATGCCTCAGAAGGTATTGTTCTGTCCCGAAAGGGAAATCTCCCTGGCCTAACTGAGAGCTCCACTAGGTCTTAAAGGGGGAGATCTTTACTGCTTTATATACATAGCTCAAACAACCCCCTAACTAGAGAATCCCGGCTTCAACCTGTGCAGCTAATACACAGCTTCTAAATGTTACTGAAATCCTAATGCCCATCCTTGAATGAAGATGGTTATAATAAGAGAAACAGAGAGGAAACCAAAGCAAGTCAAAACAAACCAAAGAAAACTAAAAACAAAGAATACTCCAAAACAACAAAACAATGCCTATCATTTTCTTTTTTTTACCTCTTTTCTGTCTCTTCTCACACCATCAGTGCCCCAAAATAACCTGTAGTAGGTACAAATGGCCATAAATGGTGAAGGTCCTCACTTCACCCCGGATGGCACTGTGGAGCAACCTAAGAGAAGGTCCAGATGGTAGAGACAGTAGTTTCCCTGGACTGTGCTTTCTAGCAGGAAACCAAGCAAAGCCCATGAGCTCCCCAAATAACTTCTTTTCTTCTACCAACAAAAGCATTTATAGGTAGTGATTGGGAGCTGGCCAGTCTCCTAATCCTCTGGGCAAGTGCAGGGGGATTGGGATGAAGGATAAAAGACAAGAGACAAAAGTAATATGGTATACGGGGGTCCAGGAAGGTCAGAGCTCATGTCACTAAGGCCCCAACTTCCCCAACTTGCCTACTACTTATTGTGTATATTTTATCAGGGGGTGTGCAGGAATACCTAAGACAAAAAAAACACATGAAAGTGAGCAAGACTTTGTGAAAATGGAACAAAGATATTCTAAGCAGTAAATCTTTGTTTAATGAGAGATCTGCTTTCTCTCTAAGGTTGGCAGTTATTGCCCTGAAATTCTGAGTGAGATGTAGTGGGCTCACCTGTGGTGTCATCTTATCTTGAGACATCACAGTGTCTTGGGCCACTATAGGCCTTTACTACAACCATTGGCAAGGAGAGTTCTGTTTCTGCATGCCAGCCACTGGCTCAATAGGCAAGTCACTTAGGCCGGGGGCAGACTCATCAGTTACAATAGAAAGACAATTGATTAATTCTAAAGCCTGCTCAACAGTGCCTCAGTGTAGTCTGCATCAGGCTGCTGAACAAGAAATGAGGGAGATTCCTGGGTATGAAAATGTCCCTGAAAGCTTCTGGAATGTCCCTGGAGTCCTGACCATGGGCTAAGCTAGCCATTAAGCCAGTCCCTTTTCCAAAGGGCCCAACGCTCTGCCAGTAGGAAGCTGGGAAACCCATGGCTCTCAGGAGTAGGGATGCACCTCCTGGCTGGCTCTACCAAAACTATTACTGGCCTTTCCATGCTGTTGCCTTACATGCCCTAAAATTCTTTTCTGTGACAGAAGTCAGTAAACCTCCAACCCACTCAGTAGTGGGATAAGTTGAGGTCCCCATATCTATTTGGGGGACTTCTTTAGACACATTTGGTGACAAGTTTATCAGAAACTTGGAAAGAAGAAGATTGGAGATTTGATGCAGGAAGCATCTATTATCTGAGAAGACTTTCTTTCTCCAATGTCTTTTCAGACCTCCCATACACCCCAGCAAGTCCAGAACACAATCGCAGCCCACACCTCTGCCGACAACCACCTGAGTGAGCCTGACAGCAGTCTCCACCCTCAGCCAGTCAAGCCTTTCTACAACTGCAGCCCCTGCCCACAGCAAGATGCTGGAGAGATCCTGAGCCAGGATCCCCTGCTAAGCTGCTTCCAAATTCCCGACCATTAGAAACTGTGTGAGCTAAGACAGGTTGTAATTTGCAGCAGTAGATAATTAATACAACTGCAAACACAAAACAGCAAAGGAAAGAAGGGAAAGTTCATGAAATTTGGTGAAATATCCTCTATGAAAATAATACAAAAGTTTTTGACTCATATTCTTGACAGGCCCAGACCGAGTGATTTTTAACTTCCTTCTGTAACAACAAAAACAACAACAATCCCCTTGTGTCAAGGACATACGCTGGAATTTCACTACGTTGAGGAAAAATGATGACAATTACCCTTCATTTAGTGCCTCCTATTTCCAGGCAGGCAGGGATCTGACATCATCATTCACCAACATGGAAACTGACAGGTCTGGTAATTACCTCAAAACACACAGTAAAAGGCAGAATAAGCATTCTAAGCCAGGTTTACACTACAAAACCCTACTTGTTCCCACTTCATTATTACAGCCTCTCTAACAGTGATCCCGTCATGCCTACAGGAGCAGAATTTCAATTCAAATTTTAATTATTTATAAGTTATTTATTTATTTTTAAACATAGTTTCACTGTGTAGCTCCTGCTGGCCTCCAACTCGCGATCCTCCTGCCCTCCCTTCCTATCGCTGGGATTACAGGCCAGCCAACATCACACCTGGCTAAATTTGGTTTTAGTAGGCCTGGACCTAAGGGAGGAAGAATTGAAGGCCTGGATCAGGTAATGCGCTTAGGGAGGAGCCAGTACATAGGGCTGGGCGGGGCACATCCAGGCCGGAAGTTGCCTTGCCCTGAACAAACATGGCGGCACCGGGGGCGCTCGCCCTCATGTCGTAACCAATGAGGTCTCGACTCTGGCCGTACTCACTCTGCGGACCTTAGCGCTACAGTGCATGATGCAACGCCTGAGTCCAGGAAGTCGCTGCTGCACGTTGGGGTGACGGGACGGCAGGTGGTGGTGGTGGTGTTGGAGGCTATGTCCTTGGAAGTGACCAGGGCCACCACAGAAATGGTGCTGGGTAAGTGAGACTTAGCTTGGTAAATACGGTCGGCTGAATACCGGCGCTTGCCTTAGCGCTTGGCGCCTCCAGATGTTTGTGGAACGTTTGGAGGGAGCCTGACTGGATGGTCCAGGCTGGGCTCCCCTCGAACCCCGCGTGCCCGGGGGTGCGACCGTGGCCGCGCCCGCCCCACTGCGAAAAGCCTCGTGATTCCGCTCAGATTCGGCCGGTGTGCGGGGCTCGGGCATGGTGTCGCAGTTCTTCCAAGTGATCTCCAGCAAGCAAGTTTTATCAATTTAATTCTCTGTTGTGCAGCCTCATTTTGTATTGAAATTTTCAGTAAGAGAAAAAGAAAATTAGGAGACATAGGCTGATGTCACAACGAGGCTTCTGCAGTTGTGAGGCCTTCTGGACTTTTTTTGAGATTAAGTTTATTGATACATTCTAGGTGTACATAATGATCATTTTCATCATAGGGAATTTGTGTCCGTACATGATACATTTTGATTCCTCTTTTTCCCCCGATCCCCGCTCCTCCCTTTAACCCCTCTACCCTTCCTAGTTACAAAGCTTTGTTTCCATTTTATCCTTTTTAAAAATATTTTTTTTCCTTTTCCCTTCTTTCCCTCTTTCCTTACCCTATGTTCGCTTTCGTTTTGGACAATTTCTTCACATTTCACAATATGTATTGTACATTTTGATTCTTATTTAAATACTCATTCAGTTTCTCACACAGGGAGACTGCGATGTTTACACATGTGCTTTTTTTTTTTTTTTTTTTTTTTGAGACAGGGTCTCACTGTGTAGTTCAAGGTGGCCATGAGCTCATGGGGATCTTCCTGCCTCATCCTCCTAAGTGTTGGGATTAACAAGCCTGGGCCATCATTCTTGTCTCATCTTCTGTAATTTGTTTAACCTCAGAATTTAGGTTTATTTTGAAGAATTTAGGTTTATTTTGTTTTCTTTCATCCTCAATGTAGCTGCTCAAGATGAATATTGTTTTCCTTATTTTATAGAAGAGGAAGTAAGCTCAGAAAGGTTAAGTAAATTTCCTAGGGTCACCCTGGTTTTTAAGGTACAATAACCAAGATTTCAATGTAGGTCTAGCTAACTAAAGCCCCTGCTTTATTGATGGGTAGTCAAGTACATACAAACAGTATCACGAATTAAAGTGATCAAAGAGTTCATTTTGAAAAGCTAAATTTATAACTCATGTTTTTAGGAGATACATTTTCTTAACCTAGGGGCGTGATTATGTACTTTGGACTGTGGTAACTTTTACTAATCCAATGCTTATTCTTTTTACAAACAAAGAAACAGCTAAACTAGTTGCATTATAAAGTGTCTGCGTTATTGGTCAAACAAGTAACTTATTCTCATTTATAAAACAGAGCTGTATGTGTCGGATCGAGAGGGAAATGATGCTACAGGAGATGGAACCAAGGAGAAACCATTTAAAACAGGTCTAAAGGTAGTGTCTCTTCTCATGAAAATGACTGCATTTAATAACTTGTCAATAACGTGTAACTTGTCAAGAATTTTATTTTAAGCACTAGATTTTGAAGAGAATTTTTAGAAAAGGGAGAATAAGGAATATTATACAGACTCCATCAAAAAATGTGTACACGCTTCGGGAAAAGAAAAGTAATAAATGTCTGGAAGCTAATGGTCACCACTTTGAGCACCTCTTATAGTTGTAGAAGCTGAATGTAGCTTGTATTAATCTCATGATGTTTCGATAAATTTAGTATTAAAATATTTATACAGTTATTTCTTTTCCTGAAGTGTGTATACATTTTTTTGGCAGACTCTAGATATGTAGTTTTAAGAGTGCCGGATGATTAGAATCTAAACTTATTTGAACATTTAAAACATGTATCATCTTTTTTACCACAAGTCATTGGATGTTGGGATTTTTCTAATATCTCCAGTTGCTGGTTTTTCAGTGTTTGTAAGAATAAAAATCATCTTTCTGTGGTCATGCTGCGCTTGTGAGCACGTGATATATAAGAGGCGTGTTGGTGAATTTACTTCTATGCAATAGTGACCCTGAAGCTTGTGCCTCTGAAGAAGACCAGATTTCTATCACATTGCCCAAGAACGCATATCTCAGAGTAGATTCATGGATTTGGAATTCACAATAGAATTCCAGTTTATTGATGTGCTGGTGTTTCTCAGGAACTAAAATCCTTAAATGAGATCAACAGATTTTCTCTGAGAAGACTTAAATGGAAGATCAAATATAGGCCAGGGGGTCTTTCAAGAACTTGTACTCACATGCGTGTTAGGTAACAGTTGCATCCATCCTGAGTTAAGCACAGAGGTTCCTGTTGAACTGGAATGCTAGGACCCATTGGCTACAACGGCCACGTAAGGAGATGGTTAAAGTCCTCTTCCTTGGAAGAACAGAGCCCTGACACTCCTTTTTCTGTGCACCCATACCAGTTCCCCTTTTTGTTAGCTGTGATCCAGCATTTACAGTAATATCTTAGTTTGCGAGCATAATCCATTCCAGAAATGTGCTTGTAATCTAAAGCTCTTGTATTTCGAAGTGAATTTCCCCGTAAGAAATACAGTATACCCCCTCAGAGTTACAGTTCAGAGTTCACAGCCTCGGTCATTTGCAGATTTTTCCTTAGAATCTAAATAATAATTGTTTGAAGAATCCCTCACAATTGGAAACTGCAAATATCCACCGCAATTTTTTTTTGATGGGAGCTTTGTAAGTAGCCAATTCAAGAATGTTATTCAGTTCTCCTTGCTGCTGATTGGCTACTGCCCTGTAACCCACCTTTTTCAGGTGCACCAGCATTACCCCATCAAAACAGTTTGCTGTACTTCCATAGCTATCTCCAGTGTTCTTGCTTTTGTTCTTCTAAAGTCCTAAGATGCTGCCAAAACACCCCGTACCTTGAATGCCTTCTGGCATTGAATGTAAGTGCCAAAGGAAGTTTTAAGACCCTCCAGGAGAATGCTGAAGTACTGTATTTGCTCTGGGAGCTAAAAAGTTGTGCCGCGGTAGCATAATAGGCATTTCAGGGCCTTTTTCTGACCATGTCAGAAGTTAGCAGTTTTTCACAATTTGCAGGTGCTCCCAAAACTAAATCCCTACAAATTTCAGGGGTCTGCCCTAATGGAAATTTAGATGATTAGTTCTACAACCCAAAAATATTCTTATAAAAGTGATTACAGAACTGTAATATTTACAAAATAATAAAATATAAAGAAATTAACCTGCAGTTACCTGTGAAAAACTTTGTGGCTGGTGTGAGGAGGATAAAAGAGGAGAGTTGTTATGTAGGACGACTTTCACTATCACTAATGGACTCACCGCTCTGTCTTGGCTCTGTGAAGCTTATTTCTTTTAGTACAGCTTTAATGAGGAGCCTATCCAGTGATACTCGCTTTTGCCTCCTTTTGAGGATTTTGCAGAAATATGACATTGCATGGTTGCTAAGCAGATTTATTGCTCTCACTGCTCCAGCCTTTTTCGTGTGGTGCTTTTTCTACAAAATCTTGCACTGTTTACCCGGTCTTACACATCTCTGTAATCTCATTTGAAGTGAAAGTTCTTGTGCCTTTTTCTCCTCCTTTGCAGACAACCCCCCATACCCTGTTGCTGTTGGGAGACGACCACCCCCAAACACGTGTGTGGGAGAGAACCATTGATTTAGTTGTGATCGTGTGACATTTGGTGTCACAACTTGCATTGCAAGACATCGCTTGTTTATCAAGTTAAAATTTATTAAAAATGTTTCCTCATCTTGTGGAGCGCTCACAGAACAAGTTAATTGCAATCCAAAGCTTTACTGTATGTAATTATCAGTTCCTCCTAATCTGGGAGCATTTGCTCCTCTTTTGGATTAAACCACATGGTTATGCTTTGGTGTGTCGTGCATGGTCTTTTTATTTCTTAGAGTAAAACCTTTCTTTTCTTTCTGAGTTGTTGGGGTACCTTCCCCCCAAAACTGACAACACCATTTAGGTAAATGAATGTCTGCAGAAGTTGAATTGTCAGCAAAAGTGTGCCATTCCTATTTGAGGAAGGACAGTTTAGCTTTTTCAGTTTCAGTGATATAGCAAGAGGGTCAGTACAAGCTGTCTGGTAATGATGGAATATTGAGTTGCCTGCAGATTCAGCCAGGCATCCCTTAGTGACAGGATAGAGTGTATGTGCACAAATGAAGATGGCTGTGATAACATTAGCTGATGGAATTTAGGGACATAGTTGGATACGTGGTCCTTCATTGATTGAAGCGTTATGTGGTGCACGGTGGCACCCTGTGGTGTCTAATTGTTGAAGAGGTGCACTCTTGGCACTCTTAGTTGTTTTGTAAAGATTCACGTTCCTTCCTTGTATTCACTGAGTTGAGACTAATGTCCCTACTTTCATTTTTTTTTTAATTAGTATATGTTTGCAGTATCTAATGATTACATTCATCATGAGGAATTGGTACATGTACAAGACACATCTATGTCCCCTTCACTTCCCTTTCCTCCTCTGCACCTTTTCCTTCCACTCCCTCCATCACTTTTCTTTTTTTCCTATTTAACTTATATTTTACTCATGATTTGTATTTTGGGTTTCTCATAGAACAGAAACTTTACAACATTTAAACTTGTGTGTCTGATTTGTTTCACTTAGCATTATGATCTCAAGGTGCATCCAAACTTTACAACATTTAAACTTGTGTGTCTGATTTGTTTCACTTAGCATTTGATCTCAAGGTGCATCCATTTTCCTACAAATGACTTATTTATTCTTCTTTATGGCAGAGTAGCATTTCATTGTATATATATACAGTTTTCTTGATCCATTCATCTCTTGATGCATATATAGGGTGCCTGCTAGTTTTAGCTGTTGTGAATTGTGCTGCTATAAATACAGGTATGCATTGAAATATGATGTCTTGAACTCTTATAGGAAAATATCTAGGAGGGAAATAGCTGAGTCAAATGGAATTTCTTGTTTTATTTTTTTAAGGAATCTCCATACTGATTTTCATGATCAGCAGTAGTTTCCATTTCACCAACAGGAAGAGTTCCTTTTTCCCTACATCCTAACCAGCATTTGTTGTTATCTGATTTCCTGATGATAGTCATTCTTTCTGGAGTAAGATGAAATCTCAGGGTTGCTTTAATTTGCATTTTTCTAAAGGACAGTGATGTTGAACATTTTTTCATTTATTTTTAATTTATTGGCCATTTGTATTTATTTAGATGTGTATTTATTTAGATTTGTATTTATTTAGATTTGTATTTATTTAGATGTGCCTATTCACTTCAGTTGTGCATTTTTTGATAGACCTTTTATTTTGAGGGGTTTAATTATTTTGAGTTCTTTATGTATTCTAGATATTAGTCCTCTGTCCCATTCCATAGGTTGTGTTACTCTGTTGGTTATTTCTTTTGCTGTGCACCAGCTTTTGTAATTTGATACAATCCCATTTGTTGATTCTTGGTGTTATCTCTTATGGAATTGGGTTTTGGTTCAGAAAGCCTCTGCCTGTAGCTATGTCTTCAAGAGTTTTACCTTTTTTTTATCCTCCAGCGGATTAAGGCTTTCTGTTTTGATATTTAGATCTTTGATCTGTTTGATTTTATTTTAGTACCTGGTAAGAAATATGGGTTAGATTTAATCTTTGGCATGTGGATAGCCAGTTTCCCCAGCACCATTTGTTAAAGAGGCCATCTTTCCTTCTATGAAAGTTTTTGGCCACTTTGTCAAAAATCAGGTAGCTGAATGTGCTTAGAGTTGTTTCTGCATCCTCTATTCTGTTCATTGATCCATATGTCTGTTTTTTTGACAATACAGCACTGTTCTTTATCACTGTAGCTTTGTAGTATTAATGTCCCTTTAGAAAAGGTTGGTTTTTCTAAGGTCTTGCCACCAGATGGAATAATTCATTACGTTTTCTTTTGTTCTCTTTCTTTACCCAAGGCTTTGATGACAGTAGGAAAAGAACCATTCCCTACCATTTATGTAGATTCACAAAAAGAAAATGAGGTAAGATGAACCAAAAAAATTTACAGAATTATACTTTGTGAATAAATTTTGAATTGAATTTAAATATTGAATAAACAGAGGTCTTGGGTAAAATTACATTATCTGTGTTTCTCTCTAGAGGTGGGACGTTATTTCTAAATCACAGATGAAGAACATTAGAAAAATGTGGCATAGGGAACAAATGAAGAATGAATCCCAGGAGAAGAAAGAGGTGACTAATAGTTTACCACCGTACATATTTTACAAGTTAGACCGCTGGAAGCCGTGTTAACAACTTGTTATTAAAATTAGGCAGAAGATAGTTTGCGAAGAGAAAAGAACCTGGAAGAAGCCAAGAAGATATCCATTAAAAAGGATCCAAGTCTGCCAGAGCCCAAGTGTGTAAGTGGCACGTTGTTTCCCTTATCTTGGGCATGGTCCCATCATGTCATTAATTCTGGCTTGAGTGGTATACCACGTAGTTTGTTCCTTCACATTGTTTGTCTTCTAGAACGGATGGAGAAAGGTTTTAGGGCAGTGAGGCTCTCTCTTTAGGCATTTGTCTTAACATAGAGCTTAGTAATTGCATGTGAAGTACATTCTCGTCTGACTGAAGCCCAGCAGACCTGGGCTGCAGCCCAGGCTGTGCTGTGTGGTGTGGGCCCAGCAAGTTGACCCTCTCTAGTATCGGTTTCCTCACTACAAGATGAGCAGGTAGAAATCCATGATTTTTCTAAAGCGTGTGAGTCTGTGAAACTGGGTTCATTCTTTTCTTCTGGAACCAAAACAGATTGCTGCACTATGAATGGACATGGCTTGAGTTCTGATAGTTTTCTTGCTGACAGTTGTTGTGTTTTCCCTGCTTAGTGATGGAACTGTTTTCGTGGCTATGTTCACTGCCCCCTTCCTCTGTACATCTCCTTTTACCTCATGTTTCAAACAGAAAGTCTTTTATTTAGCTTCCGAGTCCAGAGTGTACTGAGGGACTCTGAGGTCATGTAAAGGGCCCTGTGTGGCTAGAATGTTTGCCTCTGTGGGGCAGAGGCTCTGTTTGTGACAAATTGAATTCATTTATTAACTGATTTTCTCAACACCTTATTACTGCGTATTTCATATTAATGAAAACATTAGTATATAATAAATGACATAGTTATTCAAGTATTACTTATTTTCATTTGCAGGTGAAGATTTGTGCATTAGAAGGATATAGAGGCCAAAGAGTAAAGCTGTTTGGCTGGGTCCACAGGCTGCGTAGACAAGGTGACTGGTACCACTTTTTTTTCCTCGTTTATTTTACATATCGTTAGTCTTACGGAAGAACATGAAGACATGTCCTGGGATTTTTTCAGAGGTTTTTGTTGTTGTCATTTTATTTTGTTGTGTTAGCTTTTACATGGATATTGTGACTTAAATACTCAATTTGTTCTTATTTAATGTGACTAAAGTTTAAAAATTATTTAAGTACACTGTTAACTGTTAGCAACTACAGGGGTAAAGTGTTCAGGAAACATTTGTCAAATTGAATTTTAGTTACTTAATGAAAAACAGGAGATAGGGTACAGGAATGGTACAGATAGGATCAGGATCAGGTCCTGATCTAAAACTTGGCTGTAGCATGAGAGCACATTTGCATTCTGCTTCTCTCTTGGTCCTGATGTTTTGCCACCTCTGTTTTTTTGTCCCTTTCTTCGCTTCTGAGGATCAGACTTAGGGGCACTCTACCACTGAGCCGTATCCCTACCCCGTTGTATTTTTTGTTTTGAGACATAGCATCGCTAAGTTGCCCAAGCAGGACTACATCTTTTGATTGGTGCTGGGATTGCAGGTGTGAACCTCTGTGCCCAGCTGCTTCCTCTATTACTTTATGTGTTATTTTTATTGTGATTATCGAATTATTCATGAATAAAATGGAACATAAATTGAGAGTACTTCTCTTCAGCAATATTTATGCCACTCTCACACACTGTGCTGTATGTGTCAGGGGCCTTAAGGGCAAATAAGACATAGTCCTGCAGCTCATTGCTTGCCATCTTGCTGACCCATAGCCATGTGGATCGTGAGGACTGTGTAAGATTTAAAAGCACAATGAAAATAAAGGGCTTTATACATGTTGTGTAGCAGTGCTCCTGGGCATTTCAGAGTAAGGGGGTCATGTGGGAGACTTGATCTTTCCATGCTTAACCTTGAAGTTTCCTTTCCATAAAATTAAATTCTAAAAAGTCATCTGTGGTTCCTTGAGAACAGGCTGGCTAAATTTGTATTTCTCATTTTTAGGAAAGAATTTAATGTTCCTGGTGTTGCGGGATGGTACAGGTTATCTTCAGTGTGTCTTGTCAGATAGTTTGGTAAATATTTTCTTTTATTTATGGCTAAAAATTAGACTTTTTCAGTAGCTTCCTTTATTGTTATTTTTTAAAGGTTTTTTTAAACTTTTGTTATGTTCACAGTGAATACATATATCAAATATCATACCTTGTAGCATAAATACAAAAACCTTTATTTGTTAATTATACCTTAGGAAAGCTGGGAGGGCTTTTATTGAAAAATTTGCAACGCATGAAATATAGAACAGCATAAAGCATCTTTATCACCCTGTTTTAGTGAATACCAATATATGGCCAAGATGTTGACCTATATGATGTTGTATGATGTTGCTCTCCCAGACATCATATCATTTCATTTAAGATACTTTTTTGTGCATTTTTAAGGAAAAAAACCTTTTTTTCAGTACTGAGATTGAACTCAGGACCCCAAATTGAGCTACATTCCCAGTTGGTTTTCTTTTTGATGCATGGTCTTGCTAAATTGCCCAGACTGATCTTGAACTGTGGTCCTCTTCCTTCAGTCTGCCAACTAGCTGGATTATAGGCGTGCACCATTGTGTCCAGTTAGAGAAACTTTGCTTCATGCACAGTACTTACCAGCCATTATCACCTCCCACCAAGTTAACACAACTCCTAAATATTATCTGAAGTCTCATCAGATTTTCCTAATGGATTCATTATGCCTACTTAGAGTTGGTTGATTGAATGAGGATCCAGCCAACATCTCCATCTTGCATTTAGTTGATATAACTATGGATTCAGTTGATTATATCATTGTGGTATCATTTAACATGATCTCCTGTTCTCCATGTGATTAATAAAATAGAAATTAGGTCTGGATAGATTCATTTGTTTTTGTTTTTATTTTTTTAGCATGACTACTTCATGGGGAAAACTGTGTTCTTCTAATTGCATTATATCAAAAGGCATTTAGTTTCTGGTGTCTTTATAATTAGTGGGTTTAATTGACAGCACAATCCTCCATTGTCAAGCTGCCCATCATCATTCTAATGACTTAAGGTACTGATCACCAGAATGTAGATGGGCTCTGTTTATTATATGGTCTGCATTTACCAATAAAAATGAACTGTCCAGATAGATTTAAGTGAAAGGGAGCAGTATTGTTTACACTTACACTGTAAATGTTTATAAAGTGGTACTTTTATGTCTGTTCACTGGTATGAATAGTCAGGTGTCACTTAACAGCAGGGTCTCATCCTGAAAAATGAGCTCTAGGTAATTTTGTTGTTGTGTGAACATCATAGAATACTTACAGAAACTAAGACAGCTATCATGCCACTAGATGATACGAGCTTATCAGATGACCACTAGATATGAAGTCTGTTGTTGCCAAAACATTGTTACTTGATGTGTAGCTGTGTTGATAAATCTCTGTCTTCCACAAGAGTAATTGTTCTTTCTTAACACTAAAAATCAGTGGCAGTCTCATTCCTTATTTTATAATATTTGACCAGGCAACTTGTTTATAAATAATCTTGTTAACTTTACCTATGATAGACTATTTTAATATTAATGTGGTAACTTCATTTGAACTTTAATCTTTTTATAGTGTCAGTGTTACAATGGAGTAGTCTTGTCCACCGAGAGTAGTGTTGCAGTATATGGAACACTAAATCTTACCCCAAAGGGCAAGCAGGTAAGTGGATTGAACTTCTCGTTGAGTGAATGAAGAGATGTTTGTTTGTTCTCAGGTCTTTATTTGCAATTTGGTATTTAGCATATACATACACAAATCTGAAGCACTTGTAAGTTTAGCGTGCTTTTTCCTATTCCAGTGAAACATGTACACTGTACAGTTTGTCTTAATCTGTTTTGTGTTGCTGTGACAAACTGTAAAGAAAAATTCGTTTCTTGGGGGTTCTGGAGGCTCGGCAATTCAAGATAGAGGGGCTGCATCTGGTGAGGGCCTTCCTGCTCTGTCATAGGATGGCAAAAAGCATCACAAAGTGAAAGAAATGCCTCAGGTAGAAATTAGGATGGGACTGCACTCCCGTTTATAACAAACCCAGCCTCGTGATAATTTACAGCTAACCTAGTTCCCAGGTCATGAATTAATCCACTTGTGACCTAACCAGCTCCCATTAAGCCCCATGTCTTAGTTATTTCTTCCCATTGCTGAAAGAAAATACCTAACACCGAAAGTTAAAGGAGGAAACATTTATTTAGCTCACAGTTTGTAAAGGTTTCGGTTCATAGTTGGCTGGCTCCAAGGTAGGGTGGCATGGCGGGGGAGTATTGCAGAGAACCACTTCATGGTGGGCAGAAAGCAGCAGAGTAGCAAAGAAGCATCAAGCAACAGCAAGCATCCCTCTTTCCATCCCTTATATTCTATCCACGGTGGGCCTCCTTATTATCCGCCCCAGATCTATGCCAAACCAATCAGTGGATTAATTTAGTAATCACACACCTTTGATCCCAACATCATATACTTAATCCTAGCATCACACACTCTAGATCCAGCCACCTCTGAAAAGCCCCGCCCATGACTGTGTGAGGCTTTTGGGGAAATATCTAGACACAAGCCATAACACCCTACCTCCCAGCACTGTTGCATTGGTAGTTAAATGTCCTAGTGATTTTTGCAGTGCACAAAACTAAAATCACAGCATAATTCATACAATAAAAAGAACTCAGATTTTCAGCTTCCCTGAATTCCAGATTAATCTTCATGGGCTGTAATATAGCCATTTTGGGTTTATGAATAACTTTTCGGATAGATGAAAATAAATATTTTATAGCCTATCCAGAAAATTTTAGAAGAGAACAGTAGTGTAAATCTTAGAGTTTCTGAACTGAATTTGCAAGCCTCTTTTTCAAAAAGTTAAACATTTCTGATATTCAGAGAACTGTTTGTTCTATAGCCAAAGATACATAACCTATTCCAGTTACAATTACTTGTTAGTAATTATAGTTCAAATAACTATTTGTTGCCTAAGAAAGAAAATAAAAACATGTAGTACATTTATCGCAAGAGGGAGCAAACATCCCTAATCAACTAGAAACACATTGAGGTCTGAGTCCATGTGAAAGCATGAGTAAGATTATCTGATTGAAATTCACTTAGTTTTCTTGGAAGTGATATGATTGCAAAATGGAGTTAGGTTAAATTGCTAGGCAAAGACTAGAAAGCTACATCAAAATGTTAATGAGTTAGTTTTTCTCCATGTTGTAAGATACAATTTATTTTCTAGTTTGTGCTTTTGTATTTTAAAAAAAAGAGTGTGGCTCGATGATAGATACTGGGAGGTAGGAAGAGAATGTTCAGATGAGAAGGGAAACAAACAGAGGAAAAAGGAAAAAAGAATAGAAGGAAAAAGACAGAAAGCTTGTAAATAAGGAGAGGAAGAAGAGTTGAAGGGAGGGGAGGGGAATGGGAGAAAAAGAAGAAACAAGATATATTACGTACAAGTACGGTTCCCTGTGATGAATGTGATCATTATATGTATTAAAAGTGTACCAATAAAACTAAACAAATAAATGCAAACTCAAAAAGAAGGAGCTTGGGTAGGTTTACTCTGAAAAATATTAAATACAAAAAATATTGAGCTGAAGTTGAATTACTGGTCTTTATTTGAAAGAATAAGGCTACTTATAATACAGTTTTTAGAAATACCATCTTAACAAAAATTTGGACAGAAACTCTTTGGTTTTTGTTTCCTTCTCCCTTCCTGCGTTTCTCCTCACTCTGCTTTCTTTGAAACGTAGGCTCCCGGGGGCCATGAGCTGAGCTGTGACTTCTGGGAACTCATAGGATTGGCCCCTGCTGGAGGAGCTGATAACCTGATCAACGAAGAGTCTGACGTTGACGTCCAGCTCAACAACCGGCACATGATGATCCGAGGAGAAAACATGTCTAAAATCCTCAAAGCACGTTCTGTTGTCACCAGGTGCTTCCGAGACCACTTCTTTGATAGGGGGTACTACGAAGTGAGTGTGTGTTGGTCATCTTTTGCAAACAGTCCCTTGTTGCTGTTCTGAGGCTTGAAGAGCAGTCTTCACAGCTGGCCTTCGTTTCCTCTTTCCCATGTGCATAGGTTACTCCTCCAACATTAGTGCAAACGCAGGTTGAAGGTGGCTCCACACTCTTCAAGCTTGACTACTTTGGAGAAGAGGCATTTTTGACTCAGTCCTCTCAGTTGTACCTGGAGACCTGCCTTCCAGCCCTGGGAGATGTGTTTTGTATTGCACAATCATACAGGGCAGAACAGTCAAGAACACGAAGGCACCTGGCTGAGTATGAAATTGTCTTTTTGTTGGTATTTATTTTTAGAAACTACCTTTAGGGAAGAAAGTTTTATGTAGGTAAATTATATTTTCAAAATTTACATATTAAAAAAAAATTTACATATTAGAAGGATAATGAAAGTTTGCCTAAGCCATAGCTGAGGTCTGTTTTTCACTTTGCCTTGATCTCTGTGGGTTAAGGAATTAATAAGAAATCACTGCTCAAGGATTTGGAGGGGTATCTAACTTGCAGAGTTGGGAATTGGTTAGCAGTGTTGGAATTTTGCCTTTCTGGATAGTTTCTCAGTTTCCTAATCTTTGCTCAGGAGAAACTTAGTATAAAAGAGCAACTCTGAGCTAGTGTCTTGTTCTTTAGGTACACTCACGTGGAAGCAGAGTGCCCTTTCCTGACCTTTGAGGACCTCCTGAGCCGGTTGGAGGACTTGGTTTGTGATGTCGTAGATAGAATCTTAAAGTCACCAGCAGGAAGCATAGTACTTGACCTCAATCCGGTGGGTGTAGCAAATGAAAGATTATAATCCCTTTCCGGAAGACACTGGAGTCTTCACTCTTGTTTTATAGATTTGATGGCTTGGTGAGCTGAAATAAGTGACTTAGTATTTGGAAGACTAAAATTTAATGCAGTATTAGTCATTGCCAGTAATTTCATATGTTTTGACTTACCTAAGAAGATGTCCATTATGTTTTCCATTTGAGGAGTGTTTGCATACTTTCCTAGTCTGAATTAATCTCTTGTAGTAATGGTAAATAGGTGTTTTGGTTAATGGACATTTTAAGGTTAGTGGTTTCTTTATATGCCCTATGTTTTTCCTTTCTGCGTAGAACTTTAAGCCCCCCAAACGGCCTTTCAAACGGATGAACTACACAGATGCCATTGTGTGGTTAAAAGAACACAATGTAAAGAAAGAAGATGGGACTTTCTACGAATTTGGAGAAGTATGTATTCCTCTCTCCTTGTTGTTTCAAAGGTGGTACCATGCTTAAATGGATTGCGTTTGCTGCTTCATTGGCTAATGTAGAAGGCACCTGCTGCTTGGGTTGTCAGTTGGTTCATTGTAGAGTGAGCATTGACAAGTGTTTAGCATTCCTTCCTATGTCATCCTTCATCTCTTCATGGTTGTTGTTTAGCCTAAACTTCTAAATTCTACTCATACTCCTGTCAGCTGGCAAGGATGCTTTTAAAGTTTGTGAAACTGGCCAGATGAGGTGGTGCATGCCTGTAAATCTAAGCACTTGGGAGGCTGAGACAGGAGGATTGCCACAAGTTCAAGGCCAGCCTGGGTTACATAGTGAACTCAAGGCCAGCCTGAACTATACAGCAAGACCCTTTCTCAGGGGAAAAAAGAAAAAAAGTTTATGAAGCCTTTCAAAGTACATACAAAACATTAGTACATGTATTTATTTGTTTTGTTTTTCTGGGAAAAGTATCTCCTCCTTTGCATAAGGTTTCATTCTCTCTAGATTTCAGAGATTTAAAACTAGTTGGGAAGAGATTATAGTAAAATAGCTGTCAAATAAGATGTAAAACTGAGAGAGAAGGCTTTGTAGTGAACATGACCTGGTACCCAAGATAAACTTAGCATGCTGATTTTGATTTTACCTGGGAACCACCCTCTTAAGCATGTATTGGGAATATGGGCTGGCAGCAGTGTTTCAGGCCCTCATTCCTTTATGTTTAACTCTTCTTTTTTTGAGGGGAGGGGTGGTACCAGGAATTGAGCTCACACTTGCCAGGCAGGTGCTGTGCCACTGACCTAAATGCCTGGCCCCCCTGAACCATTCTTTATATGATATTTACAAATCTGTTTTATAAGTAAAAAGGCAGCTGCTGCTTACAAGAGTTTTGATTTTTAAAAGAAGTTTATAGGCAGGACAAACAGTATACTAGATCTTTACAAGTTACTCTGTCTTGTAAATTCAGTTTATGCTGTATAGAATGCAGTTATGCCTTGTACTTGGCAGAGCGATGTAGTTTTTAGCAAAGTGGGGAGTGGAAAAAAACAGAAGCTGTGGAGCCGGAATATCTCCCTCACTAAGGTGGTTTAGCTCCCACCTCTGCCCCAACCTGCTGTGTAACTGAAGGCAAAAGACCTGTGCTCCTTTTCCTCCTCTCTACATTGGAGGTAACGTCCTCTTGGCAAGGTTGTGGGGACTGAATGAGCTAAATGCCTAGCAAGGCCCACGGCACAGGAAGCTTCAGTGCATGTCAGCAAGCGCTAGATATACTTGCTGTCACCTGTGCACAAGAGGCAAGAGAGAGACGTGGTCTGCAGACTTCAGATTGGGCGGTAAGGTCCCTCTTCCCATAATTGCATTTTATGCAGAGCCCCAGTGTATCAAGTGGATACCAGCCAAGTGGCCAGAGCTCTCCCATTCATCTTACCTTTTCCCGTAACTTAGCGGGCAAAGGGCTTCCAGGACCAAAGCAGAGAGCAACTGTGCCGGCGGATTGCTCAGCTCTTGTTTCAGTTCTTACATTAAACAAATTAATGAGTCCTGTCCAGTTCTCTCAATGGTTGTTACTGGGGCAAGAATTTTCAGTCTAAACTTGAATTTATGTGTGTTTTACTGAAGGATGTTTAGATAGAGAAACTGATTCATTTGATTCATCACCTAAATTTCCTGGCTAACTATTCCAGGTGTGGTTACATGTACCAACTTTGTCCTATGACTGTCTCTCTACTGTTGAAGACATAACTGATTTATTGTAGGAGGAAAGAAGTGTAGAAAACAGGAGAGTTTAAAGATTAGTGTCATTAATAATGGTCTTTGTGATATCAATGATATTCTGGAGCATTCACTGATTGCCTTCTACTTTATGAGGCTGAGTGGACCATAGTTTGCTTTAGAGCTTGCTAAAATTGACCACTGAAAACCAACTCAGTGGTCAGCTTGGAGATTTTTGTTTTTTTCTTCTCATTGCTCAAGAAGCATGATGCTTGGGACCTACTGAAGAAGAAGGCAGAGTATTTTCAGTTCACTTAACAACTGTGAATTTATAAAATAGGTTTTTTTTTTTCTTTGAAAGAAATTGTTCTTTATATGAGAGTTTATGGATCATGGTTTAGGGCATATTCTCTACTATGTTGCCTTGATGGGAGGAAGGGCTGGTGCAGAAAGAGCTGTTTCTGTCTTGTACATTTTGAGCTGTAGATGTTAATCAAGTTTTGTTTAACCTTAGGATATCCCAGAAGCTCCTGAGAGACTGATGACAGACACCATTAATGAACCAATCTTGCTGTGTCGATTTCCTGTGGAGATCAAATCCTTCTATATGCAGCGATGTCCTGAGGATCCCCGTCTTACTGAATCAGTCAGTTTGTGATTTAGAGCATTAGAAATTTTAATTTTTCTTTTTAAAGGAGGGGAAGAGTGGGCGTCAGGCACATGCCTATAATCCCAGCACTCTGAAGGCTGAGGCAGGAGGATCGCTGCAAGTTTGAGGCCAGCCTGTACTACACAGTGATTTTAAGTCTCAAAACAAAACATAAAAATAATAAAGGAGGGGCAGCTGTTAATGAAATGAGATGTAGCTCATGACAAATATTTCTTAATAATAGAGTGGCAATAGTTACAGAAGTGGGTTTTTTTTTTTGGCTTCGCATGATTGGAATTAACATCCTTTGTTAAAAAATTTGAGTAATATTTGAATTTTGCACAAACATAGTGTATATTCCTTTAGCTATAGGAGTTTAAATTATAATTTTCATTGAAGCCCCACAACAGTGCTGTATTTGATAGCCTGGTAATAATTATGTTTTTCTTTTCTTAAAATTCATATTCAAAGGTTGACGTTTTGATGCCCAATGTTGGTGAGATTGTGGGAGGCTCCATGCGTATCTGGGATAATGAAGAAATCCTGGCAGGTTATAAAAGGGAAGGTATTGATCCCACGCCATACTACTGGTATACAGATCAGGTAAAAGCAATGTTCAAAATTGTCGTTGAACTTTTTTTCATTGTATAGTTCTGTATACATTGATATTTTTTAAAGGAGAGCATTCCAAATGGTACTTTGTTTTTTGAATAAGTTGTACTTAGTTTCATGGTTATAATACAGCATTTAAATGTTGCAGTTTTTAATCTTTGGCCGAGTTATATGTTAATTGCATTTGAATACCTCTACTCATTGCTAAATATTATTAGATCCTACTAATAGCTAGTACTGTCTTTCATTTTCCTCTGATAAATGGAGATATCTAGGATAAAAGATGGAAGTCACTTTCCAGGGAAATGCTTAATCCCTGCTTTATTTTTCATAATTATTTCATAATTATTTATTTTCTTTGCAATACTGAAGATTAAACTCATGGACTTACACATGCTAGGCAGTCACTCTATCACTGAGCTACAGGGTTCTGCTTGGTTTCCTAGGCTAGGCTTGAACTTGTGATTCTGTTATATTAGTCTCATGAGTAGTCAGGATTACTGGCGTGCACCACCATGCCCAACCTGAATTCTTTCTTTAAATTTTATTTTAAAGAGAGAAACAAATTCAAAACAAGATAATAGGAGGGTAACAGTGGTTAATGCATTGCATATTGTTATTCTTTTTTTGTGGTTCTGGGAATCGAACTCACGCTTGCCAGGCAGGTGCTATGCTGCTCAGCTATAGCTCCCCAGCCCACATATTACCATCTTTAAATTAGTTATTCAGAGTACAAGATATAGGCATGTAATTGTCCAAACAATATTAGCACAAACCTTCCTTTTCAGTGAACTAAGAGAAATTAGTACTATAACTATCATATATAGATATTTATTTATTTATTTTTGCTTTTCCTGTCTTTCTTTTTCTCCATTCCCCCATCCGAGTTTCTCTTTCCTTTTGAAGTTTCTTCCCATTTTACAATATCTGTTGTACATTTTTATCTTATTTAGTCTTTTAGCTTCTCACACTAGGGAAACAGTACAATGTTTACACATGTGCGTCTGATTCATTTCATTTCTGAGTATGGTCTCTAGTTGCATCCATTTATCTATAAAAGTCTCTAGTTTATCCTTGTTTATGCTTAGTAGTACTCCATTATATAAGAAGACCACATCTTTTTTATCCATTCTTTGGTTGATGGGCATTTGGGTTGTTTCCAAGATTTAGCTATGACAAATTGTGCTGCTATAAACATGGGTGCACATACATCACTGTGGTATAATGTTTTTAATTCTTCTGGGGAGATACCCAGAAGGAGAATAGCTGGGTCAAATAGGATCTCCAGTCCTAGTTTTTTGAGGAATCTTTACACTGATTTCCACAGTGGTTGCACCAGTCTATACTCACACCAACAGTGGAAAAGGGTTCCTTTTTCCCTTCAGCCTCTCCAGCATTTCTTACTGGTTGATTGCTTGATGATAGCCATTCTTTTGGGGGTGAGATGGAATCTCAGTGTTGTTTTGATTTGCATCTCTCAAATGACCAGTGATGTTGACCATTTTTTCATACATTTATTTGCTTTTTTAATTTCTTCATCTAAGAAGTATGTATTCATCTCAGATGCCCGTTTTTGGATTGGGTCTTTAAATTTGGGCTGAGATATTTCTTTATACATGGTTCATAAAGGCATATAGATTATGGGTTGAATTCTTAACCATGATGAGCTGATTGCTTCCACAGTGGAAAATTTTAACCTCTTTGGATAAAATTTTAAACATTCACTCCTCTCATTCTCTCTTTGTCTTTTTCTTTAACAGAGAAAATACGGTACATGCCCTCATGGAGGATATGGCTTAGGCTTAGAACGATTCCTCACTTGGATCCTGAATAGATACCACATCCGAGATGTGTGCTTGTACCCTCGATTTGTCCAGCGCTGCAAGCCATAGTTAGTTCCTCTCAAGTGTAAAGGAATCAATATGATTTATGAAAAGAACAGGCTGCCTCTTACAAAAAAAAAAGACAAAAGGCCAAAACACCTTCTCTTTTTTGTTCTATTAGGATATAACTGTTTATATCTTCTCTACCTTCTCATTCCCACTATCATAAAAAGGAGTGCATGTTACTGGAACATCAAGTGACATTAATGTCACTATAAGAGAAATTATGTGTTACAGAGTTTGTGGAAATATGTGGCACAGAACTCACTAACTGTAGGTACATTTCAGCATTTTACCCAGTTATAGGATATAATTATTGTGTTCAATATACTATACATTATTAAATTTCATACATAATTAGTTTTCAGTTATGGTCTGAACCAATCAAATAACTTAATCTTTGTATCCTTTTAAATGTAACTAGAATTTCTTTTCATTTATATCATATTATTGTATCCATGAGTTAAAACAAACATCTTGGGGAGAAATTGGCAAATATGGCATAAAAATTTGCTAGTGTTAGAGAACAATACTGCTAGTATTAGCAGTACATAACTTGTTTCTGATGAATACAGTCTTTTGACTCGATTATTAACCTTTTCTCAAGTTGTATAGCTGCTTTTAGTTCTGAGCCATACAGATTGATTTGAAAGAATTTGTAGAAATGGAGTTTCCTTAAATTTTGGAATGAGCATAATTTGGTGGGGAGGCATATTTAGATGATTCACAGAACCCTACTTAGTGTTTGTTTAAGGTTAAGAGGCAGACTGAGCTTCCCATTTTCCTGGTGATGTTTAAGTAATTAAAAATAAATAAATTCAAAATGTATTTGCAGGTGAAATCTTACAACTTATAGGTGGCTGTGTGAGTCATCCTACCATCTCCTTAGATCTGATCTGTGTTACCTTATGAACTCATCACAGGTTTATTGAACAGCTTCATCTTAGATATGGTTAATTTCTCCCCCAAATGCATGCTGCATATTCTCCCTAGTCTGTATCCCCAGCAATCAATAAATGACCACTTGTAAAACACTTTGCTGTCTCACATTAGTTCATTCCTTACACATTTTAAAAATCTTTATGGGGCTGGGGATTTAGCTCAGCGGCAAAAGCGCCTGCCTGGCAGGCGCAAGGTTGTGAGTTCGGTTCCTGGTACTGGAGAAAAACCAAAAAACAAAAAAAAACAAAACAACAAAAAAAAATCTTTATTTTTCATGATCTGTGTATGTGAAATTAGGTATTACTAAATTCCACAAGTATTACTAAAAATATATGGTAATAGAGTGTTTTTTAAAAATTAGGTATTTGAGTCCTAGCTACAGTATTTTTGTATTCTTATTTTTTTAACACATTAGATTTTGTCTTGTTTTGCAATTACATGAGATGGAAATTTCATAAGTGCAGATTTATTGTAATCTGCAATTGCAGATGGAAATGGAGCATTTTTAGTCTATTTGGCTTGTATCTTGAAATAAAAAAATACTTGGAAGAATGTGAATGAGCTCTAATTGGCTTCAACTAAGCAATTCATTTGATAAGAATTAAGTGAAGAGGCTAGACTCAGTGAATCTAAACTTTAATTATCTAAATGAGTTGAATATTATAAACTACTACAGAAGAGTCAGGATAAAGCAGGGTAAGGGAGTTGAGGTTATGGTCACCTTAGGCCAAGAAACAGCATGGTGAACAGCAGACTTCATGCCCAGGGACTTTATTTCTTTCACTGTGTGGTTTGTTGGTCTGCTCCAAGTGCTACAAATGCCATCCTTCGTCTCTGGCAAGCACCAACTTACAGACATCTCTGCTGCTGACTTCCTGCTCTTGTGGCACTCCTCACTGGACTCTCATGTCCTGACCCTGTTCTTCCTGAAACCCACCAAAAACCCCTTTTGCTTTTGCCCCTTGTGTGGTAGACCTCCTCAGAGTCAGAAGCAGCTGAGAGGGTGGTACTGGGACTACTCAAATGACAGATGGTACCAAACAGTGTACTTTTTAAAAAATTAATTCTTTTGCTACATTTTAGGTATACATAAAGATCACATTCATCAGTTTGAACCTGTACATGACACAACTTGATTCTTTTTTTTCAGGAGATGTTCAAGACTATTACAGGTTTGTTAGATGATTTGCTGATCCCTTACTATAGGCTAATGTAAGGGTTCTGAACATGTTCAAGGTGTGATAGGCTGAGATGTGATACGTGGTAGGTTATGTGTATTAAATGCACTTTTGATTTAGGATACTTTCAACTTGCAGATTTCTGCGGATGTAACCCCATTATAAGTTAAGGAGCATCTCAACTTAAATACCAACTTTCCCTCTTTCTAGCAGCAGTTTTCCACCTCCTTTCTACCTTGTTCCAGTTCATTTAGCTCCTTCTTATCTTGTTTCTAACAATTCCTAAAAATCTCTACTATATAGACCAGTTGAATTCTATCACAAGCAAGCTTAGCTGCTCACTGGGATCACCTGGAAACCTTACAAACAATGGTGTCTAGGCCTTAGTCCAGCTCAGCTGAATCTGAGTTGCAGGGATGAGACCAGGGAATTCCTTTAAAGTTCACCAGGCAAGGCTGTAGAACAGTGAGGTTAGCAGTCAGTAGGTGACTCCCTCATAAGCTCAACCTTGCACCTCCCTTGTGACTGTAGGTTCTTACTTAATGACTGTGTTAATCTCTTGTTGAAATGGAATGTTGGAGTGAAGCTGAGAAACTCCAAAGCTTACATTATTTTAAGCCACCTTTCATTCAGTAGTATTTCATTCAGCTCTTCTCAGAAGAAGGGATATTATGATGTTTAAGTAGTATAATTCATAGCATCTTGAAATCACTTTTGAGTTAAATGACTGAGTTTCTAAGGCTAAAATGTTTCCTTTTATCATGGTTCTTGCATGATTAGCCAAAGAACATTTTTGATCAGAGTGTAAGTGAAGAGACCTCAAAGACAAGTTGTAGAGTCAGGTTTGTATCTGATGTGGGGAACCACTCAGACTGCTTCAGAGCTCAGAGCCATCGAAGGATACCTGAGGATGTGACCCCGCTTGTTTAGCGCAGACACACAGTGTGATACAGTTATGTAACCATGACTTAGCACAGGTAAACATGCATGTCCTGGTTACATCACTATGTAAGAATGTAAATATGAGATAACAACCTGTGTAAGAATTATACAACAAAGATGCAGCTGATTCTTGCTCTTGTGCTCTTGTGCTCTGCTCCATGCTGCCTGCTGTTGGTGATGTCTTGCACATATGCGTTCTTTAACCTCACCCATGAAAATCTCCCTTGAGTTCCCTGAGCAGGCTGACAGATGCACATTAGCACACCAGCTCCAAGGAATGGAGGTGTTCAAAAGTTTTAGTTTATTCTTTAGGTGTTTACTTCTGTTTGTATTTCTGAATAACAGGTTACTTTATTAATTTTTCAGTTTTAGACATTATTTATTGCTCTTTTGCAGAAGATAAAAGATTTCGCTTCTTTCTCTCCATCCTCATTGTACATGTATACCCTTCCACATCCCCATCTTTCCAACTTAATTATATAGTTACATTGTAATTTTGGTTGGTGTAAACTATAATGGCTTTTCCTTTTTTGTTCAACTTTTTCCTTGTACTTAGTAGCTGTCTTTTTTTCCTTTATCATTAATTCAGTTCTTAAAAATGTACGGGCATATCGGAGTCTTTCGGTAACATTGTCCCATAGAAGCTTCTTGTGGACCCTCTGCCTGCTTTCATCCGAAATAGTTACCCTCAGTCCCTGAACATCAGTGTAGTCCTAGGACCTTCTGTCACTATCTTCAGAGTATGCCCTTTGCCATTCTCCTCCAGTGGACATTTTAGTTCTTTTATTCCACATCTACTCTTCCTTGTTTACTTTGTAATTGTTTTTGAGCATTCTCTAGTAATTTGCTGAGAAAGGATTCGTGGAAATTAAAAGTCACTGAAATGTTTTTTCATTTAAATGTTTTTTCGTTTAAATGTTTTTAATCTATTGTCATGCTGAAATCATCTGTGTATAGAGTTGTGGGTTTGAAAGCATTTTCCTCAGGACTTTTTTAAAAGTTGGTTTTATTTTACTTTTTAATTTTTATTTTAAAGAAAAAGAAACAAAACAAAAAATTTACAAAACAAGATTCCAAAACAATATGATAGGAGGGTAACAAAGGTTAATACATTGTGTATTGTTATCTTTAAGTACGTTTCCTCAGAATTTTGAAGTCTGGCCTCCAGTGTTCCTTTTAAGAATTCCTGAGCGTCTTACTGTCTATTGTTTTACATGTGACTTTTCTTTTCTGAAAGCTTGTCCCAGTGATCCAAAATTTCAGAGTAGTATTTCTTGGGAGTAGTTATCGATCCATCCCGATGGGTGGTTAATAGGCCCTTGTAGTCCAAAAAGTCATGCCCTTCAGTTGTGAAAAAGTCATAAACTTTCATTAAAGGTCTCCCTACTGTTTTGTTTTCTTTATACAATTTGTTTCAGATACCAGACCTCTTTTTAATACCCTCCTTACCCGCCTTTTTTGGTCTCTTGGGACAGGGTCTCACTATGTAGTTTAGGCTGGCCTTGAGTTTACTTTGTAGCCCAGGTTGGTCTTGAACTTGCAATGATCTTTCTGCTTCAACCTCCCAAGTGCTGGGACTACAGACCTGCACCACCACTCCTGGGTTCCCCTCCCTTTTTAGTTGGTATTTTCTGGGAGGTTTCCTCAACTTTATTGTCTTTCATCTCTTCAGCTATAGTAAAACATTTGTGTGTATGTGTTTAAAATTCTTATTCTGGTATCAGAAAATTTATCTTTTTAACGTTTACAGCCTTAAGTTTTCTTCTTTCATCACCTAGTTTCTTCTGTGTTGGTTTTCTTTTTTTTTTTTTTGGTGGGTACTGGGAATTGAACTCAGGACCTTGCACTTGCCAGGCAGGTGCTATGTCACTGAGCTATATCCCCAGCCCCTTCTTCAGTTCATTTGCATCTGTTTCCTGAAGCTTTTCTCAAATGTCAGATAATGCAGAGTGATCTCTTGATAATTGAGGAAACTGCAGTGCCCATTGGCTGCTCTAAGTATGTGGTAGTAGATGTGAACCTCACTGTAGGTTGAGCTGCCTGGGCCAGTTAGGAAGGCTGGCTTTCTGCTTTTAGGAAGTATATATAGTTCATTGCCTTCTGCAGTTTGCAGTGTGCTCCTGCTCTCCACAATCCTGGGATCTGTAGTCTAGAGCTTTCTGCCAAATCTCTAGGAACCAAACCTCTAATTAACAGGGGGTAGGGGAGGGTAGGAATCTTTAGTACTCTTGTTCACTGCTTTAATAGACTTTGAGTCCATTTTATTCTGGCATCTCTTTTCATCTCCACTAATGGAGGTCCCTGCTGTTGCCAATCCTGAGATGCTTAGGGATTCTCTTGTGTGAATCTGGGTGGTTCTGTCTTAAGATGGACAGCTTAAGACTCAGTTTTACTGGGTCTGCTGAGCCATTAAGCATTTATTCATCTGCCTTCCTGCTTGTAAAATTCCATGGCCATGGTTCCCTTTTCTCCATCTTTTTAGGTTTGTGCTTGAAAACAAAAAGCACTGCCATCTAAACTTCTGTTGATATCCCAGTAGGGTATGCGAAGAGAGTGGAACTATATCCATGGCTCAAGCTCCCCTCTTTACCCATGGGTCATTACTCTGAATTTGAGAACAAGTCAGAAGGGAGTGGGCATAAGCAAAGGGGAAGGAATGTTCAACTAGTTGTTAGGAAGGACACTATTCTTTATAACTAGGGAAAAGAAAGCATGTAATTGTTAAAAAGTTGGAAGTGACGTTGGGTCACAGAAGCAGGAAGATAGCCATTATTCTTGAGCTTTGACTGTTAAAAAAGAATTTAGTGTACTGAAATTCAGCTATGAATCTGAATTCATAGTTATATCATATTGGCTGATCGTATCTCTTACAAACCCATGACATACCAGGGATGCATGGATGAATGGTTGGAACTCTGAGGGCTCCCTGACTCCTGCTAGCTGCCACTTTTTTCTTTTTTGAAATGCACCTGGAAGGAATGGAGCAAGCACAGGACTGGAACCAGACACACATGGGTTCAAATATCGGCTCTGTCCCTTGCTAACCTCAGACAAGCCACCAGACCTCTGTGACTTTTCCTCACCTGTAAAATAGGGTAAATACAATCTGCAAAATGATTGTAGTGGTTAGAGGTAATATGGCACTTAATAAATGAAAAACATCATCACTAATTCTTTTTCTTGCTGACTAAAGGTGAGTATGCTCACCCAAGCATTATTATGCTTTATGTTACTGAACCCATGTTTATTTGCTTGCAAATTTACTGGATAAATATCTCCCTACCCCCAGTCCTGGCTGAGTGTGAAAAGATATCTCAGGAGTAGAACTGGAGAGAAGGAGGTAGAGAGGTTTCAAAGGCAGAGGTGTTAAATTAGTGGCTAATGGGAGAACTGAGCTCAGACAAAGGCACTGAGGAGCCTTTTAAATTTATTCAAGTACAGCACTCAGCAGGAAGCTGAAGCTAGGGCCAGATCCCCCTTGTAAAGGGGCTTAAAAGCCTAGTCTTTCTGTGAGGAGAGATCCAGGAAACTGGCCTACTAGCCCAGAGGGACAAAGAAGGTTGCTGCTGCCAAGAGCTCTGAGGAGTGAAAGCTTCTTGAAAAGAGGTACCTTCCTGGGTTGTGAATTATGTACCTGCAAAGAGTAGGACCACTTGGCCAAGAACTTAACACCAACCTGTCCAAGGTAGGTGACATTCCTGGGTCCTTGCAAAAGCATGCCAGAAAGGCTTTGTAGGGATGCTTCCACCACCTGGGGACAGGAAAGTCTGGGAACGAGCCAGTCTCACTGAATATGAGCTCAAGATAATCACAACCCCGGGGAGGAAATGAATACATCTACTCACATAGTGTACCTCTTAATACTGATTGGCTCTGGAGCTCCAGTGTGTCTGCCACACTGCTGACAAAGTGAACCCTCAGAAACATGCATTTCGTGCTGCTAGAAGAAAACCACTTAGAAGACCTTTTATCACTTCCAAAGTCTTAGGGCAGTAGGCCTTGGTTTGACCCCATCCCCAACCCAAGGCCATATGGCTTTCTTGCTGTTCTCCAGCAGCCTTGTTACAGGTTGAATTGTGTCCCCTAAAGGATGTTGACATCCTGACTTCTCGTATCTGAATGTGTGACCTTTTTTGATCCAATGTGCCGGTGTGCATATAAAAGAAGAAGATGGCCTGTGGAGTCGGCCATATGACATTGGAAACAGGGATTGGAATAATGCAGCCACTGCAAGCTAAGAATGCCAAGGAATGGCAAGAATTGCTGGCTACCACCCAGAGCTAGGAAGAGACAAGGAAGGATTCTTCCCTACAAGTTTCAGAGAAAATGTGGCCCTGTTGACACCTTGATTTTGTGTTCTTCAGAAGTGGAAGAACAAAAAAATTCCTGTACCTTGTTTGTGATACTTGGTTAGAGTAACCCTAGGAAACACTAATCAAATGTGTTCCAGTATTTGGTGGTCCCTCGGCTTCCAAAGCCCTTTCCCAGATAACCTCCCCTATTCCCAGGGGTCCCTGTTCAGATGCCACTGTAGCAAGGTGGCCATGTCTGACAGCACCCCTACAACTAGCAGCTCTAGCTTCTTGGCTTTCTTTTGCCTCCTTTGTTTTTCTTCCTGATCCCTAGCCATACATGAGATTGTATTGTGTATCCTTTATCTTTGTCATAGACCACTGCCTGCCTCACCTCTTGGACTGTCCACTTCATTGCTAGTTGCTCACTGCCTGCTATGTGCCTGCCAGAGTGGACTTTACACACACTTATTTCATACAAGAATGAGCAACCTAGAAGCACAGTTTTTTTTTTTTAAATTCCCTTTTATCTTCTCTATTCCCTGCTATAATGTTTTGTTCACAGTGGACATTAAATATCTGCAGATTAATAAGCCTAGCACCACCGGTAGGCTTTAGGCTGTGTGGTTAAGAAAGGTAAATAAAAAAGCACATCATTTTGGACTGGATTTGGTGGCCTCATTGTAAAATGGTTGTGGAAATAACTGACCAGATTTCCCTGAGTAATCATTATATCTTAGCATCTGTCACATGCAGCCAATTGTTTCTCTTGCACTGAACCCCCTCCCCATTCTTTTCTGATTAAGAAGACAGAGTTGAGTAATCTAAATTTAGTTGGTGTAGCTCAGAGGTGCCAATCATGGCAAATAATGAATTAAGGGATCACCACCCCCTGCTCCTTCCCTGAAGCATTGAGCTGAAGCCAACAAATTCATTTTATTTAGAACCACAGGCTGAACTCAGAGTGTTGTCTGTGACAGGCGAGTGCTTTATTCACTAATTAAGTCACCCAGGCTCAGACAAACCTTCTCCCTTGTGGCGGGGGTGCTGCTTATCTGACTCAGCCCAGACACTGTTCTTTTTAGTCTTCTGTTTGGTAGTGGAATTGGTATATAATTTTATTAAAAATGTGCAAGGCAGAAAAAAATTCATATGCATACATAGATAGCCCATATAGCTCTGCATCCAAAGTTCATGATTTCTAGGTTAAGGACTATGTTCTACCAGTTTTAAAAAGATTGTATACAATACCTGCTTTCATTTCACAGGAACATAAAAAGCCACTGGAAATGTTTATAAGAAATAGGCCATAGATTAGAAATAACAAGTGTTATGGTGCTCTCTGTTGGAGCACAACAGTGAGGGTTTGTTTTCAGTTATAAATATGTCTCTGTTATATGTGCACTAACAGGCTTCACAAACAGGGATTCTGAGTTTTTTAAAGTCAATAAAAAGGAGAGTGCCATATGTGAATGAAATGATGCTAATTCTGTTTGAAAATGCTACATGGCTATATGTAATAAAGCTTTTTTGTTGTTGCTAGTTTTGTTCTTTCTGGTCAGATAGAAATTCAACCTGTTCCAACTGTTGATTTTGTGAGATACGCCACATTTATGCATCACCACTAATCATCAGCACTTCTTGGGAGGGGCCATGAGCCTCTGTTATCACCTCCTAGCAGAAAGGACTTAGCACCCAGCAAGGGTGGGGTGACTTACCCAAGCGTCCCAGAGGTGCCCCAAAGATCTCACTTAGACCAGATGCCTTGAACCATGGACCTTTTCTAATTCTCTGGCTTTTTGTCACAGTATTTCAGAATGTGGAATAGAGCCCTTTGATGTAGTTCAGGAAGAATGGGTTCTGGTTTTAATTAGAGAAATATATTATCCATAACTTCAAACTACTGCAATTTTGACTATGAGAGTCAAGAACTCGCAAAGTCTGTAGGAAGGCAGTTTGATCCTTAGTGCAAGTTTTACTATCCTTTTCTCAGGGAACATTCGGCTTGGATTTGGAGATCATCTAGATAATACGAAGAACAGTTAATGTGACATTTTATATTGGGCTTGTAACCATAAGTAGGGCTACCATTAATAAGCTAATTCAGCCAAGAGTGTAAATTTTAGCTATGGAAAACTGGTTTTCAACTTGATCTAGACTGTTGTTGCCTTACCTCCTTTAGATCTCACCCAAAGACTTTTCTGGTCCATCTGTTTCAAATTACAAATGCCTCCAGCCCCCATCTCCTTTAATTTGTTCTTTTTCTTAACTCTCATCACCATTCAAAATACTACATATTAAGGTTATTTTGGTCTCTTCCCTAACCCCTACACAAGCCGTACCCCCCCTTCACTGATGTTTTCCCACAGTTAGTTCTCAAAATTTGTTCAGTGATTGATGCCTGTGTTCAGCCAAGGCCTGGGATTGTATTCCACGATGCTTTGAACACGCAGGGGCAGGTCTTGCTGGCTGGTGGAGGCAAGGATTGGCGAGAAATGGGGGGAGGAGTTGTTCCTTTTGCTGCCTCTGTGCCCTACCTTGGGGGTTGGGCGGCTAAACTGCAGTGAAGGATCCTTCCAAAAACTGCATTTGCCAGCCTGACCTTCACTTTTCTTAAAAATGCTCTCATATTAACAGTATAAGGTTCACTTTGTGGTCACACATGCCAAACTGCTACATAGAGGTGCTGCAGAGAAATTGGATAATGCCATGAGTGCCTAATATAAAAGAACCCCCCGTTCTCTTCTGAAAACAAATCAAACTAATGCACAGTTATGCTGTCAACTAGGTAGGCAAACTGGAGAACTGACGCAAAAGCATCCTCATATCTAAGTAATGACGATGAAAGTGTCTAGAGAGTTTTGCTGAGTCGTGGCTGCCATTTCTACCTCGGCAAGGTTGGCAGATGCAACCAGATCTTTCCAGAGCAAGGAGTCTATCGGGGCTCTGACGCCTCGCCAGGGATCCGAGGCTATCCTACCCGCTACCTTTCCTTACGAAGGAGGCGGCTACCGGCCCGCTGGCTCTCGCAAAGGGGGTACCCTCTAGACGCCCCGCTCGCCCTTCAGACCACGCCCCCGCTCTCCACCCGGGCGAGGTCCCGCCCTCCACCCGGGCGAGGTCCCGCCCTGCCCCGGCAGCGAATGAACTGGCCCCCTGCGAGGGGCGTGTCTTCATCAGGCCCCGCCCCTGCCCCGGCGAATGAGCGAGTGCGGGGCAAGAGCGCCGGGTGCCGCCGCTCGTGATAAGGGACTGGGCCGCTGGTGGGCAGCGCTTCCCGGGTTGGCGCTAGTTGGGCCGGTACCTGAGGGCGCCGCGGTTCTCAGCCGAGGCTGCTCCGGAAATGCTTTCGGTGTGCACAAACATGGCTGCGGCCTTGCGAGCTGCGGGCGGCCTGCTCCGCGGTCAGTGTAAGTGGGGCTGACTCGCCCGCCCTGAGACTGGGGTCCCCCCGACGGCGGGGCGCCCCTGCCCGGGGACCTCTTGGGGGAGGGCGGCGGGCTTCGCGAGGAGTGTGGCGGAGAGGGGGCTGGGACGCACCCTGCCCTAGGAGGGGCGCGGGGAGCAGCTAGGGCACCGGGAGGCGCGGGTTCGAGTCCCATCAGGCAGCTGGGTGGCCGTGAGCAGTGGCTGGATTTCTCCGAGACTTCGTGTCATCGGTAGGAGCAAGATTACTTTGGGCGTTACGGAAGGGAAGTAGTTAAGGGCCTGTCACCGAGAGGACAGTAACGCAGGCATCATCGTCATCACCACCACGAGCATCCTCTTAGCAGTTCGGTCCCGCGGTAGAAGTCACGGCGTACCCACTACTGCTGCGGCCTAACCCCGGAGTCACTTCTGGGCAGCAGCAGCCCGCGGGGCAGACTGGGCCCCAGGGTTTTCTAGACAGACATCCCGTGAATGTAGGTTGTGTCCCCAGGATGAGCTGATGGGCTTGCCATAGATAAAGAAGAAAGGCCGGCAGCACAGTGCTTGGCACACAGTGGGTGCATAAAGACCTCTGAAGTATTCACACTTACTAATGTAAAATGTTTTCTCAAAGATAATGGTGAATACATTTGAACTGTAACCAGACACAGACTTATGTTTCAGAGAGTTGCCTAATTCCTTAGACCCACACCCACACCCGGGAGCTGAGAGAATCCTCTTCGAACCTCCTGATCTTATTATAGGTGTCTTTGGTAGGAAAATATGAAGGACCCAAGATACAAAGAAGATCAGTTCACAAAGGACACTGGAAGACAAAAGGCATTATCTGTTAAGAGGCAGGACAGTGCCAGTTGTGGGCTGAAGAAAGTACTGAATTAATCTTTTCTTAAATCAACCTTCCTTGTGGCAAATAAAGCCTGACAGACCCTAACCCCGAGGTCATGGAACAGGATGAAAAACTTTAAATTACTTGCTGTTTGAATTACAAGTAACTAAGTAGAAGTTCTCAGAGACTTGAGAATTTGAATTCCACTTCTGTTATGGACTGTGACTTTAAGATGTAATTGTAGTACTTTAATCTTGATTAATAAGAGATTGCTTCTGAAAATGAATTATGGGAATAGAAATAAAAAAGCAAAGCTTTATATTCTGTATGTTTAATATAGTATAAAATTAATAAGTCTTGTGGTAGGGTGCGCCATGAGAGATACATATCTCTGTACATACACACATACAAATTTATATGAATTATTGCTTTTCTTCCTTTTCTAATTTTTTATACAGAGAATTGTAATTAGAAAAAAAAGTCTGGGATAATAGAAGTGAGTTTTGGTGTTTGAATAAAGTCATTAGGAAATATTTTGGCTTCACACCAGAAAATAGCAGCTCTTTTTAAGTTGCTCCCTCACAAGTATTTATCAATTGTCATAATACAGAACCTCATTTCCACTAATAATTTTAAAATGATATATATTTTATAAGCATTTTTTCGGAAATAATCTCGCTTCTTATGTGATAGAAATGACCCTATTATGCACTTAAGGACTTGTCTATCCTCCTCGGCTCTGTCTCCAAACATCCAAATAATTTGGTTTTGAAGAACCAGTTGGTACTCATTAACTTCTTACATCATGTGTTTGCTTTTGGATGATTCCCCTATTGGGTTTGTTCAGGAGTTATAAAGCTTTGTTTTCTAATGTCATCTTCTCTTTTGGATTTTCCTCACCTTGATAGCTTTTGTTGTTTATAGACCTTCCACAGGTAGACCAGTTGTCCATTTAGAGGGTGGCAGTGCAGAGTCTTCACTCACAAGTGATTAAGTGTACACTATTGAGTATTATTGACTTGTCTGTCTAACCACATGCAGTATGTCAGACACTGTTATTGGAGCCAGGCATAGATTCTCCCCTCCCTGTGTCCCAATCTTCACAACAGCCCATAAGACCGGCCTTATCACTATTTCACAGATAGAAAAGTGAGACTTGCAGTGGCTCATTAAGTTGCTCAAGGTAACCACATAGCTCCTTCATCCTATGTTGCATTTCTGCTCAGATCTCTCTGGCCCCAGAACACATTCTGCACCACACTGTGCTGCTTGTGCTTTTAGATTCTCTTTCGCCAGGCGTGGTGGCGCATGTCTGTAATCCCCAGCACTTGGGAGACTGAGGCAGGAGGATTGTTGCAGGTTCGAGACCAGCCTAGGCTACAAAGTGAGCTCAAGGCCAACCTGAACTGCATAGCGAGACCCTGTCTCCAAAAAAAAAACCACAGATTCTCTTTAGCTGTGAGCTTAGTTTATTAAGGTGTCTCTGTCCTTTGTTTGAATGATTACTTTAAACTCTTTTAGCTAGACAAACTCATAGTTTGATAGGAAACATTCTTTACTCTGCTAGAAACTTTAGCTCATTAGTGGCGGGAGGGTGTTTAAGAGCTATCCTTGAAGGATGTGTGTATTTACCTGAGTCCCAAGTAGAAAGGATCCCCTCTTAGCAGCATCATGGTACTTGCTTAGAATTTTATTAGCAATGGAGAAGAGAATTTTTTAAGGACATGGTAAGCATGTTAAGGGCATATTAAGCAGCTTGAGAAGATACCACTTCCCAAACTAGGAAATTCTAACTAGTTGGAGAGTGTAGTCCTACCTCAACTTCCTCTTCCTCCTCTTTTAGGTTTGTGGGATGAAATCTTATTTATGACCAATGGTCAAATAATGGAAGACCAAAGTTCTAGTCTCATACCCCACGAAATCTGATTTATATAGGGAATTGCAGGCATAGCAGCATGATTAAGAATCTGGTTAAATCTCACTTTTAGTTTAGAATTAAATTTATCTGAAATGAGATGTGTGTTGAATTAATTGCACTTCTTTATATCAATCTTTGTACTTCCACTTGGACATAGTAAAGATTACTCAGCACAAACTTACATAATTGGCTCTATTGGGATAGGGACAGTTTGGATAGATGGAAATCTAAGTGGCCTAGAAATACCCTTTACCTTTTTTTGTTTTTGTTTTTGAGACAGGGTCTTGCTATGCAATTCAGGCTGGCCTTGAGCTCGCTTTGTAGCCTAGGCTGGTCTCGAACTTGCAGCAATCCTCCTGTCTCAGCCTCCTGAGTGCTGTGATTACAGGTGTGCGTCACCATGCCCGGGAATTTTCCAATATTTTGTACACATATTGGGTGTACAAAATATTTCTGTAAAAACCAGGACAGGTATAATTCCTACTGTCTAGAAACTTATGAGTGAAACTAATGCTAACACTAATTATGTGGCAGATACTGCAGAGTACTTTACTCATCTTATTTGCTTTAATTCTCACGAGAGTTCCAGTAGCAAGATGTCATCATTTTGTTGCTGGAGAAATTTAGACTCAGAAAAATTATAATTGGGCCACAGGTCACATTGCTAGTAAGTGACAGGTGAATTCAGAGTGTTTTACAGCCTAAATTCCTCCTCAGGGCACTGCTGCATAAGAGGCGTCTGAGACCTATCATAAGGTCTTTCTGATCTACTGGAGTGCCAGTGGGGAAGGAAGTGTACCACATGGGACGAGGTGGCAACCACGGCCCCATGGTGCCCTCTTTAATACCTTCTGTATTGCCTTAGTTTATTGTTACTGTATTTTTAAGACCAACAATCTTCATGCTATAGCTGAACATGGCAAGTGGACTCTTCAATTCAGGGGATTTCTCCAGGCTTCTGAGGGACCCAAGTCAAGAGTGTACAAGGGGACACATATATCACATGTGGGGTAGCATGTTAAACTGGGATATGTTCAGTCTTCTGACATTGACAAATGGACCTTGGCAGTGACTTAAAAGGGTGAGCTCTCGAACTCAAGCTCCTGCAGAAATGTGCAGGTCTTCAGTGAGCTGCCCTGCAGGCCTTCTCGTCCTACCTCCAGCTCTTTCCTGTCACCCCTTGGCCATCCTTCAGGTGAAGAATTATTTACATTTCAAGGCATGATTTGCTCTCAGGGGGATGGATCCAGTAAAGAAAACCTGGGCAGAAAGTGAGTTCTCAGATCCTGGAATCTGGCTGGTCTGGCAAGCCTGGTGTGGACTCTGGGAGAGGCACATCTCTGGGCCGTGAGGCATAGTTTCCCCTTCTAGGGCCCAAGGTCGATATTGGGGTGCCCAGCACTGTGTTTTATTAGAAGGGGCTTAAAAATCAGAAGTGAAATCTGTAGCTAATTGGAAAGTGACCCAATTTCCACTCCATCAGTTGTTCTTCACCTTTTCTCTGGGCCCCTTTCCTCTCCTCTGAGCACTGTACTACTGCCAGTAACATTTAGAATGTGCAGTGGTCTTGCGAGGAATCGTCTCAAAATCTGCAGCCAGTGCACGGAGGGGAAGTGTATGCGTGTGGCTACTAAAAAGCCTCCCTGTGGCCTCTCATAAGCCATCCTATACCCCATCCCCTTGGAAAGGCCTTAAGTGCCTTTACCTGCCTGCAGAGAAATGCTAGGAAAATCACCTCTGCCATCCCATCTCTTTAAATTTTAAAGCCAGGAATTATGCCCTGAGGACCTCTTCAAAAGAAATTGCTTTCCAGCTAGATTTCATGCTAGCACTTTAATTTTGTCACAGTGGTGCATGACAGCTTGAGGACCCATCAGCGATGGAGGTGCCAGTTGGGTACAGCAGCAGCAGCGACCACCACCACAGAGACAGCTCAGCATACTAAAAGTGCACAACCTCAAGTTCAACTGGAAAAGAGGTATGAGTCCAATTTTAGGTACAAATAAGCATTTCTCTTCATTGTCGCAAACACCAGTGGATGCAAGCTACCTAGGAGGAAAGGTATTGGGAAAACTCAGGGTATCAGGAATGGAATGTTATATTCTTGGCTTCCTTTTAACAGCTGTTAAAACAGCTGCAGGTTTTAACATCCCATCTCTTCAACTGAGCTTTTGTTAAAGAACATATAGTTGAGTAAAAGCAGACTGCAAATTACTTAAGAATTCGGTCTCGCGGTCCCGCAATATGTCACATACACAAATCATGTGTATGCTGGAAACGTATTTATTAACCTAATATGATTATGTTTATATAATGTATGTCTTGTACAGGATAAAGAGTAACTAACCTACCGAGAATTCCTTTAGGAAACTCTACCATTGTTTTTCATCTTTTAACACATGAACATAATTATAAATGACATACTGTGACTTGGAGTTTATTAAAAAAATTAGAAGGCTGAGGATGTCGCTCAGTGGTAGTGTTTGCCTAGCGTTCATAAGATCTTGAGTTCAATCTCCAGGACCAAAAATAAAATAGAGTGTACATTTTATAACTCATGGCTTCTGTTTGCTTGAGCAGGGCAGCAGGCATAGTGGTGCTGAGTGTTCTCCGCCACATCTGTCCCCTAGTCTTCCTCTGTAATCAGCTACAGCAGATTTTACTAAGGGAATTTACTTAGGTGAAACAGCTCACTTTAAAACCAGGCAGTGACAGAAGAACCATAGCTGTGACTGACTTAACTCCTTGACCTTTTCTGCTAGACTAGGTGTTGGTGTAGGAAAGTTATACAGCAGTGAAAATAAAGTATTCTAACTTTGTGTTTGTTATTATTCATTCTGATCATGGGCTTGTTGCTTGAATGCTAAGGAAACTGAGGTGTGTTGCGGAAGGGCATTAGGGATAGGGCTTCAAATTATCTCCAAACTCTCTGCACTCCACCCAATGGAGTCGTTGAGAAAGATAAAAAGCCCAGACATCACCTCTGGCGCCCACTGAGCCCTCTTCCCACCTCTGCCCTTAGTACGCAGGGGTTGGAATAAGTATTGCTATAAACAGAAGAACTGATTCAATATAGAACCCTGGAAGAAAAATTATTTCATTATTATATTATTCAGTGATACAAATAGTCTTCATATTCAGTTATTAGAATTAGATAGAAATTGAGAAAAGTCTATTAAATAACTATTAAATAACTTCATGATTATTAAATAACTTCATGTCATATTTATACAAAAAAATAGGATAGATAGGAAAAAAATTTTTTAAAGTACTGGTGATCTTACCGTTTAATATTTTGTCTTTGTATCTATTAATATTCACTTAGTATGTAGTGTCCTTACCAATATATGATGATACTATAGAAATATATTTATAGCTTCCTCTTTTTACATAATATGTCATCAACTATAAATATTCTACATTATTTTACTAGCTTAGGAGTATTTTATTAAATCATTGTTTGTTCAGTCTCTCATTATGGACAGGTTATTTCTAGTTTTTGAATATTACAGATGTTGAAGCGATGAGTGTCCCACTGGGTTATTCTGATGTCAGACCTTTCGAAGACATCAAGCTGCTTAGTGCTTAGATCAGATTCGACTAGATTGTTACTAGACTAGGGGCTGAAAAACCTGTTTTATGCAGGTTTAATATAAGTGTAATAAATTATAGACATGTCCAATTAACTGGTGGTCGTAGACATCTAGTAATGCAGCCCCACAGATTATAAACTTAACCTCATTATATAATTTTTTTTTTTTGAGATAGGGTCTCGCTATGTAGTTCAGGCTGGCTTTGAACTCCCTATGTAGCCCAAGCTGGCCTCAACTCACACTGGTCCTCCTGCCTCAGCCTCCCGAGTACTGGGATTACAGGTGTGCACCACCACACACCACTTATTATGTAATTTTTAACAACACTTTTTAAGGCTTAATTGGGTGGTGCTTGAATGTGGTCGGCATGAGCAACAGCTGAATGCTGTGTAGGGAAGAGCACAGGGTAGTGTTAACTCCACCTCTTGTGCCTGCCACACAGTGCAGCATGGACAAAGCAGAGGGTGGGACGCCCAAATAGACTTCATAGGTTACACCGTCTCTTTCATTGTGCTTTACTTCTGCTGTTGTCATGTGAAAGCAGCTGTAGATAATACATGAATGGAGCTGTGTTTCAACAAACTTTGTTTACGAATCAGGATATATATATATATATATAGGACCTCTTCAAATATATATATATATATATAGTGTGTGTGTGTGTGTGTATAAATTTGATGTAGGAGCTCTAGTTTGCCACATTCTGTTCTAGAGGTCGCATAGATCCACAGGTAAGCTGCATCTTATAGGTTTAATGAAGAGCTGGAATTTTTTTCATAATGCTGATTGTATATAGTAGAACAAAATTATTGTTTCTTTATTAATTACAGAGTTTAATTTAATAGTACAAAGGGAAAACCTCATATTTTGAGATTCCCAGAATATAAAAATAGCAAAACATTTAAACCTTTCCCAGGAAGAAGTTTTAAAATGTTTTTCTTTATTCACTTTTATGTTCAAACAAAGGGAACCTGACCATTCAGACTTGGTCTCAGGTGTGCTCTGGTTTGAGGCGAGACGAAGACCCTTGACTAAAGCTTTGCACTTCACGTTCTGGAATAGAGGGAGTCAGCCTGGGCTTACTAATGCTGCATTCATCATGCACAACACAGTTTTGAATTAAATGCATGAGTATTTGAGCGTTTTCAAATCGCACGTGTCTCTTTCATGTCTAAGATCAACATGGGTTTGCAAAACCGTGAGCGGGGCAGAGTAACGTCCTCTTTAAAGCCGCTCTTGTTTTGAGCTCAGGTGTTACAGATGAAAAACACAGTTCTAAATCCCGTTTGTACACTGATACCCTCTGTGGCTTAGGTAAGTCTTTTTGCCTGGGGTTTCTTAACCAGTAATCTGTTAACTGGCAGCAATCCATGGGAAAATGCACTTAATATATTGTGAGTCACAAATTTTGAGGATGAAAAACAAGATCCCAGGAGAAGATGGGTGGTTTAAGTACAAAGATTAGGGGAACATTACAGCTTCACAAAATGACACATCTGAAATTTTTAAGGAGCAAGAAAAGAAAACTTCGCACAACTGTGAATTTAGTGATAGGACTACTGTGTGGACAAGTTCCCTAACAATGAACATCTTCAGTGTAGTTGCTTGGTTTAGTAAAAAGAGAATCAAATCTTCTTTTTGTACGACAGTGGTTCTCAGCAAGGGATGGCAGTGTCTAGAGATATTTTTGGTTGGCACAGCTAGAGTAGGGTGTGGGGTGCTGCTATCTGGTAGGTAGAGGCAGGGGATGTACTGAGCACCTTACATTGCACAGGAGAGTGTTCTGCAATAAAGGATTATCCAGCCCAAAGAGTTAGTGCCAAGGCTGAGAAACCATGGTCCAAGACAATGTGAAAAATGATCTTAGTTAATCTTTGTCTAAATTAGAAGATGTTTTGGTTACTTTTCTCTCTTGTTGCTAAGGCAAAATACCTGATGCCCAAAATTAAGGAAGGGAAGGTTTATTTAGCTCACAGTTTGTGGAGGTTTCAGTCCATAATCAGCTGGCTCTAAGGCAGGGTGACATGGAAGAGGAGCAACAGTTCATTGTGGTGGAAGACAGCAAAAGCAACAAGAGCAGAAAGGGAGGAGGGCAAGCAAGGTGCGGGGGAGAGGAGCTTCTTTCCATCCCTTATATTGTATGCAGGCTACCCACCCTAGGGTGGGTGTAGCACTCACACCCATAATTCCAGCATTGGACCATGAGTCAATCACAAACTCTAGAAGCCCATGCCATGACTGCATGTGGCTCTGGAGGTAGGGGCATCTAGACACAAGCCATACAGAAGGTTTCTGACTTTGTTGTAATATTTTTCCTTATCTGTGAATTGGTTCTTATGCTGAAATTTTGAATTGAGAATTCATATTTCTACTTCTTTCAACTACAGGGTGATTGATCAAAAAATGATTTCCACCTGTAGATTTGACACTCTGCTGCCTAACCTTATTGCCAAAAGTTGTTAACGATTTTTAAAAATTGCCAGATTGTCATTATAGTATCATTCATTTTAGCACACATTATAAAAAGACTTCCAGAAGAGCCATCCTTTGGTTTTCATCACTGCCATCACATGGCTCTGCCTTCATGGGGACATGCAAGGGCCCTGGTTCCCTATGGCCCAGCTTAGACTCTGACCTTCTGGTTCTGAGTCCCTGGTTGTGGTCTTCTGGAAGCTCCCAGTGCAGATGGAGTACTTGTTTCTGTTCTGGGCTTCACCTTGCTCCTGGCAGCATTTTGGAAGTAGAGAACTTCTTGTCTGGCTCCCTTCAGACTGTGTGGAATTTAGAAGTTTACATTTGTGTTTAGTATTTCTGTTTTTTTTTTTTTTTCCCCGGAAGCTACTTGATTTAAAATATTTGTTATAGAATTTTATTTTCTTTTTGCTTCTTGCTACTCATGCAATGCTTGATTATTTAGCTTAGGATGGATTTGAATGATTAGCATAGTTTTATGCAGGAATTATCTAAGCAGTAGATTTATAGGAAAGATGGAGAGGTGAATGGAGAATGAGAGATGTAATTTATCATAGCAGGAGATACTAAGGAAGGAGTAAAGGCAAGACTGGAAAGGGAAGCAGAGTAGCAAGAAAAAAATGTAAGTTAGGAATAATTAATCATTAAAGAGAAGGAAGCAGATGCAAAGAGTGAGAGATGGGCTCCTGCTATACTTTAGAGATTTAAAATTACAGAGGACTCTTTCTCTGTACAATAAAACTTCCTGTGTACTGGATTGTGCTGACACTTTATCCAGTGAACCTCAAAGTTTACGTATTTCTTAGGCACTAACATGTATGGGTTCTTCAACCTCAGAACAATTTTAGATTTCTACCTTGACTCCCCGTCTCTGAAGAATTTCATCTGTTCAGGGCTGGCAGGTTAATGGGGAAACAGTATGAGCCCCGTGAAGACCAGCGTTGTGGATGGAGCTAAGAGACAGGGTCAGAGTGTGAATGAGATAATGGAGAAGTGGCGGGCTTTCCTGTTCCCAAATCACAGCTGTGGGATAACAGCAAAAAAGTGTCTGGGTTTTACTTTAGCATCCACGTTAGATGAGAGCTTGTTCACCGAACTAAGCGTCTGTCCTAAGGAAAGTAAACGTGTGACAGATGAGCTGTTGGCATTTGATTTTCATACAGGAAACCAAAAACTGGAATACTGATGCTAAACATGGGAGGCCCTGAAACTGTCGGAGATGTTCATGACTTCCTTCTGAGGCTCTTCTTGGATCGAGATCTCATGACACTTCCTATTCAAAAGTAAGAACATCTAAACACCTGCACTTTTAAAAATAATATATGCAGTGCCTGTGGCCTTACATGTGGCTGAACTATAGTTTCAAAAAATGAATTGTTGTTTTGTTGTTTGTTTTTGTTTTTCTTCCGGTACCGGGAATTGAACTCATATACTCATGCTTGCCAGGCAGGCACTGTCCCACTGACCTAAATCCCCAGTCCCTCAGAAAATGAAATAGTTTTAATGTACGTGTGGTAGTGGTTTCAGTAGCAGCATTATTTTCCTTTGACACTTAGAAAGATACAACATAGAATTATAGAGCAGAGCTGGTTAGTGAACATTTTCCTTGAGCTCTTCCTCCCCAGAGCCCTGGCAGTTGCACTTGTCTCAACACAACTGAAGTGCCTTTAAAAATTTTTAAAGATGTATTTATACTTGGCACTTAATGGTTGGTTAACACTCAGGGAAGCAGTGATTATTATTCATTTGTACTTTTATATGGGTTGTTGCTATTTTTTCTTTTCATTCTTCCCTCACCACTTCCCCCCTTTATTTCAAAAAGGTTTTGCATTTAATACATACATATGATAAAAATGCAGATAGTATAAAAGTGCGGTAAAAAGCAAGTATTCTTTTTACCTTGAACTGTTACTTCCCAGTTACCCCCCTGGAAGTAAACAGTGTTACGTGCACAGATAGTCTGTGCACATCCAAGCATGTATGTATACATGTGTCCCTCCCACACTTTGTTACACAACTGTGAATGTATTTGTGTACATTACCTGACATTTTGCTATCTTATAAACTTAACACTGTATCTTCTTTCATACTAGATTATATAGCTCTGGCTCATTTTTTCACAACTGTTCAGAGTTGTATAGTTTTACCATTATTTAACCTGTATGTTCACAATAGTTAAGTTCACAGTGCTGCAGTCAACAATTTTTTGCATACATCATTGTTCACATATACAAGTATAAGATTAACATACATTTTGTAATTTTATGAGCAGGGTACTTTCTACGTCACTTTTCCTTCTCTCTCGTCCTTTGCGTTTTTGAGACGGAGTCTCTGTATATAGCCCAGGCTGGCCTTAAAGTCATGCTCTTCTTGCCTCAGTCTGCGTCCTGTGTCTTATGTCCAAATTCTTGTTAGGTTCAGGTTCAAAACATAAGATAGTATCCAGCATGCATCCAGGGTTCTCTTCATGGGTGTTGAGTGTCCTGATTCTTCAGGGGATGATGCTAGAGCAATTTATAGAGTATATGGGCAGATATTCCTTAGAGAGTATCTCACCTTAGCTCTCTATGCCCATTGAATTGGCTGGTTTTGTTTTGTTTTTTTTTCTTTTTGAGATGGGGTCTCACTATGCAGTTCAGGTTGGCCTTGAGCTCACTTTGTAGCCCAGGCTGGTTTTGAACTCACAGTGATCCTCCTGCCTCAGCCTCCCGAGTACTGGGATTACAGGCATGTGCCACCACACCCAGCTAACAAATTGGCTTGTCTCGATACCTTCAAGCTTCGGTTTTTAAAGGTTTGTCTTGTTAGGTTTTTCTTACATTTTTGCTTATGTCTTTTATTGAGTAGAAAATATTTCTCAGTTGTTAAGGTGGAATAAGATCCATTTACGTACATATTAAATGATTTAGTAAGCTGGCATCATTCATTGCCAAACGCCGAACGCCCAAAATTCAAGAGCAGTATCGCAGGATTGGAGGTGGATCACCCATCAAGAAGTGGACTTCCACCCAAGGAGAAGGCATGGTGAAGCTGCTGGATGAGTTGTCCCCTGACACAGGTATGATATGTCTTCATTAACATAGTGCTAGGTTTGTTCTTTCAGGGTAGTTATGAAATTCAAAACAGAATTGGGTGCCGGATGCTGTTGTTTGTACCAACCCTTCATTTGTAAGTTTCTGTATAGTATACGGTCACTTACCTGAGTTCTTGAGGTGCTGTCCTGTTATTATGGAGCCTGTGCCATTATTTCCTGTGTTACAAGTAAAACAGCTGAAATTTGGAACACTAGTTCAAGGCAGTAAGCTGAGCTACATTTTAAGGCAGAAGTGATGTAATATGAATAGAAGGTGCATATCTCATTGCACTTGGAAAGAAATCTTTGGGAAGTGGATTAAGACTGGAGCTAGGGTCTTTTCTTTCTGGTTGGATAGCTAGTTAGATCAACGTTTAAAGCTGAATTAGCTAGTTATCACTGAGACCAGAGACACTAAGAAACTTTCGGTGATTGCGTTCAGCTCTCAGCAATCCCACCTCAGCAGGTGTTGGAGTGACGCATTGGATGTGGCACAGAACGTGGATTGTGCACATGGTAGCAGCCCTGTTCATGTGCAGCATGAAAGACCAAATGCACAAATGAACTGCAAGTGCTGTTTTTAATTGTACTCAAGACACACTTGATTGTAGGACACACTGTTTTTCCATAATATTAAGTCATAAAATATTGCTGGTTGATTTTAAGACTCTACTTTAGATGTGGATGAATAGAGAAATGTTAAAATTGAAAAATACGCATGTTAGGAGACATGAAATACATTCACTGCTGTTTTAGGGCCTTAGGATCCAGGGCAGGTATGTGATACTGTGGAAGCCATCAAACAGCCCTTATTAGGCAGGACCAGAAGGAACATTTCTCTTCTGTGAGACACCATCATTTAGCATCCACTAGAATTACTCTCAGAACCGAGCATTTCCCGGTGCACAGAGGGACTTAGGTTGCTGAGCAAATCATCTCACTTGGAAAATTGTTCAATTGCGCTTTTGAATATTAGATTTGTATCCTGCCTTCCCCTATGGCTCAGGGGGATTTCTTGTACAGTTCAGCCACACATGCCACAGTGCATCTTTTTAAATGTTGGCAGAGGGAAACTTAGCTGCCTTGTACTTATCCTTCCTTGGTAGGGAACAAACCCTGTTATTAATAGCTTATTGTGATAAAAGATTTACTATGAATTAGACTTGAACTTTATTTACTGGAAAGAAGAGGCAGAAAGTACCATTTTTTTCCTGTTTACATGTTACCATGAAGAGCTTTAACAGAGACATCAGACTTGCGAAAGGAAAACAGAGGGACCTCCTTCCACCTCCTCCTACCTCTTTGTTCCCTATGCTGAGGCTGTTGGATTATCCAGACCAGTCAGGTCAGCTGTGGCCGCAGCCTCACAAGTTGGACAGAATCCCACCAAATGACGTGGGATTAACCCACTGTACCCCTGACTGTTGAACATCTGCTCCTTTTAATGTATGGTCATGTAGTACAAAGACAGGAAATTACAAGTGTGAGGATTCTGGGATGAAATGTCCTCTGCTTTGGTAGGTATCAAAAAACAGTAACATCTACTTCATCCTTATGTAGTCAAAATTGTGAAAGTGATTTTTAAGCAGTCAGTATTGAGCGTTCTATCCTCTACATACGTATTTTAAATGGCCTGTTACTTTTGGCTGTAACGTTGGGGATCAGTTTGAGGTGTTCGTGGTGCATGAGTCCGCTTGGTTGCTTGCCTGTCTGGTCACTAAGTCACTCCATGTGGCAGCAAATTGTCTTCTTCCTTTGCTCACACTATTCATTTGCCACATACTCACCCATTCTTCCATATGCAAGCTCCCACGTCCATTCATCCTTCATCCATCCCACCAAGCAGCAGATCTGCATCAGCACCGGCCACCTGTCAGGCGTAGTGCTGAGAGACAGAGTAGTGAGTTAGCCTCGCCTCACCATATGGAGCAACGTGCCTGGCAGATCTCATTAACGTGAACAGTCGGGGCTATTTGTACTTTCTGTGGGACCTGGAAGCTTATGCAGGGTACTAATCCAGAGTGGGTTTTGGTACTGGGGACCCTTTAGCAAATCCTCATGTTCTGTGGCCCATACTTGTGCCCCTTGGAGGCATGCCAGTTAAATTTTGGCTTTCTCTTGCATGGTGGGGTGACCACTTCTTATCCTTTCAGCGACCTGCTTTGGAGACCTGGTGGTAGTATTGGTATGGCCCAAAACCATCTACTCGTTCATTCTGCAGCAGCCCCCCTGCCATTTAGAGTTGAAAACCATGGTTTCTACTTACTAGAAGTTTCCAGTTCACTGGGACTTCACTCCTTCAGGCAGTCTGCTAAAAGGGAAAAAAATCTTTTGGGACTTATTGGGGAGATGGTACATGAAAAGCATGTGGGCTGATGAGTACACAGAATTCAAGTGTGTAAAAAATGAAATAGTCTCAAAGTGTGGGAACTTCTGAGAAGATCACTCTGTAGGGCTCTACAGCTCCCTCAGGGGCTCTCCGGACTGCCCAGGAAGTTGCTTCTTGCCCTGCTCCTCACACTTTACTGAGTGGGCATGAAGCTGAGTGTTGAAGCCCCAGTGCCCTATTCCCCTACATTCCCTTCCCCAAGGCTTTTGAGAGGGACCAGAGTCAGTCCCCTGCCCATCTCACCCTCTTCACGTTTTCGTCTCTCCATTTCTTTCTCAATTCCTCCTCTTCCATGGTCTGCATGTGGTTCCCAAAAGTTCACATATTAGAAATTTAATCCTCAAATTCATGTTAATGGTATTTGAAGTTGGACTTTTGGGGGGTAAATAGACTTAGCCAAGGTCATGATGGTGAGACCCTGATGATGGCTTCAGGGGCTTTATATGAAGAACAGGGATCCAAGCTATCGCACATGGTCTGTCTCATGATGTGATGCCCCCTCCATGTCAAGACAGCAGTGAGCTCTTACCTGATGCTGTGCTGTTTGACTTCCTAGTCTCTAGGACTGTGAGCCACACGAACCCCTATTCTTTATAATTACCCAGTCTCTGGTATTCAGTTATAGCAATAGAAACTGGACAAGACATTCTTACTGTCCTTTTCTTTCCTACATGATTACAAAGTTTACATTTGTACTATGTCTGTTTGGTTTTTTCTCTAGGAAACCTCAAGAAGAAAATGTGGCAATTGAAAATAGATAAAAATGTCTTGTGCTGTTGTTTTAGGGACATGGTTGTTGCTTGGCAGTTAATATGGAAATTTTGAGACTTGCATTGGCTTTGTGTAGAATTGATCAGCTAATTGATGCAATGAGTTATAGCAGGAATCTAGCTTGGGCATGCTTTTATATAGTTACAATGCATTACAGTATTGTAACGAAGAGAAAAGGAGCTAGGTGACAAATGTAATCCTTTGATTGAAAAGTCTAACTCTATAATATATTTAATCAAGGCCAGCCTGAACTGCATAGCGAGACCCTGTCTCCAAAATGACAAAAACAAACAAACAAACAAAATAAAATATGTTTAAAAAATTATGGTTTAATTCTTTGGACTGTGACTGCTTTTAATGAAGCTAGGGTACATAATGGGTAGGAGCTGAGGATTTGGTTTGGCTGATGCTGGCTTCCCCTCCTGGTTGCACGATTTCAAGTAATTTACTTAGTTCACTAAGCCTCATCCCCAAAAGGGAGAATAATAGAATGCACTCCTAGGATCCTTGTGAAAATAAATAATTCCAAAAGGTATTTAGCATGGTGCTCGGTACATGGTAAAAATTCACTAAGTGTGAGTTTTTAGTACTTATCATTACGATAGAGTTCATGATCTGATGCAAATTAAAAAGCATCACGCTCCATATTTTAAAGCTTACTTTCAGAGAATCATGTCACACATTGAAACTACATGCTAAATGAGTGAAGTTTTGCCATTTAAAAATCCCATTTTTCTGTCTTTTCATCTTCTGTTGAAAAACTCCACTAGGCAGCTGCTTGGAGGAGAGACTGGGCGAGGCCAGTGAATCATCTGTTCAGGCATCACTGGCCAGAAGTTAGAGAGGCACCTTCTCCTCCAGGCTGACCTGCCATATGTAGCATGACCCGCAAGATTCTTTGTGAATACCATTTGTTGATTTCTCAGCATGGGCCTAGCCAGGAGCACGTTGCCACTTTTTCTAAAATATGTGTTTGCAGGCCTTTAGAAGGCATTATCTGTTCTTCCCAGGACGTTTTACTCTTGCTTACTTCAAAATGTGGTCACCCACTTTGGCTTTATCTGCTAGAGCAGTCTTTCTACTCTAAGTCTGTGCTATTTGAGGAACTTCCGGGCCCTAGGTTGTTAGACTGCAATTTTCAAATACTGGACAGGTGCAAAGACATTGTGAAAAACTGGTTGACCTGCAGCATCAGGGGATCTCACTCAGTCATTTGATAATTGTATTGTCTCCAAGTAGATTAGAAAGCAGTTTCCACCAGCTTGTTAAACCTTAGCTTGGATTACTAAGAGTTGCTTAAAAATGGCCTTCATGATACTGTGAGAGTGAGCAGTTTTCACAAGAAACACATAGTCATTGAACAGCCAGTCTTTTGGAGTTTGCTGATAGGGTCCTATCCACCCATGTGGTTTAACTCCTGTTCACCTATTTTATGCAAGAGAGCATAAAATTTGAAGGGCCTGGAAGGGCCTCTTATGTTCCTTCTTTTTGCAGACTGTGGTGTGTGAATACTGAAGCACATCATGCTTTCCATACACGTCATGTTTCTTTCACCTACTGATAGTTTGCTTCTGTCCTTAGTAAGGCGTTCCATCATTTCATAGTTCATGGATCAAATTATGCGGGATATTCTCCATGTATACTGTCTTGGTTACTTTTCTCTTGTTGCTGGGACAAAATACCTGACGCCCAAAATGGAGAAAGGAAAGGTTTATCTAGCTCACAGTTTGTGGAAGTTTCAGTCCATAATCACCTGGCTCCAAGGCAGGATGGCATGGAAGAGGAGCAACAGTTCATGGTGGTGGAAGACAGTAAAAGCAACAAGAGCAAAAGCGAGAAGAGAGAGAGCAAGCCTCTTTCCCTTTTGTATATTGAATGCAAGCTACTGGTCCCAGGGTAGGTGTAGCGCTCACACCCATATTCCCAGCATTGGACCATGAAACTAGAAACCCACCCCCATAACTGCATGAGGCTTTGGGGGGACATCTAGACACAAACCATAACATATATATCCATATATGTATGTATATATCATATATGAAAATTATATATATATGTATATATGATAAACTGTCTTTTCTTTCACGTTAACCTACATGTTTCTTGTGGCAGTTTTGGGTTGCATTCTTCATCGCAGCCCCTACAGATGTTTTGAATAATAACATCATCTTGGTTGTATGATTACTTGACGTTTGTGTAGAATATTCTCAGTATCATCTGAGTATAAGTTTGGTTTGATCTCATACAAGGCAAGGGAACAAGACCAGGTGACTTTAGGACATTTTCAGTTTTATGATTTTATGTATGCCTGAGCAGTTATGTGATGTGGATATCTTTGAAATGCCTAAAGATAAAAATGATAGAAAGGGGAGTTAGTAAACCAAGAAAGGAAATGAAGCACAAAGCTACGAGGTAAACTTGGGCCATTTTGGGCCAAGAACAATCACTTTGCATTCCACTTGCTGCCTCCAAATTGAGCATTGTTTTATGTATGTTGTGTGTACTTTGAGTCCCAGAGAGATTTTGCATTTGTTTAATAAATTAGGTGAGCTGGAGTCTAATAAGAGAACTGGATGATGGGAACAGATGGGCGTGTAGAAGGATGTTGGGCCTTGGGTTGGGGACCTAGGTTGCAGTTGCAGCTGGATCTTCTGCCAGGTGACGCTTTGGGCAGGTCAGTTAAACTTCAGCATTTCTGTTTCCTTATCTTAAAAAATGGAGCTTAAAAGAGTAGTGTGCAAGAAGAGGTATACTTCAAGAGTTAGTGCTAGTTTTCCCCTCTCTTCTCTTGAGTCTCTTTTATTCCAGCCAAGAACAGAGAATTAAGAACAGAATATTGGGTTGTCAAAACCATTGTGCTGGGCCAGGGATGTAGCTCAGTGGCACAGTGCCTGCCTGGCAAGTGCAAGGTCCAGAGTTTGATTCCTGGTACAAACCAAAACAAAAGCCATTGTGCTAAATAAAGATGTGTGAATGGGGGTGATGATCCCAGGAAATAGTAACTAAAAGTCCACGGACCAGCTGGAGAATGGTTAAAATCCAAGGAATCTTCTAAACCTGCCCACATTGTCAGCATCATAGGAAATGAGGTTAACTGTTCTCTCTTCGGGGCATTCCATTATGTTTGGTGACTCTGAAGAATCTATATAAAGATTAATACTTTCTCTTTTCCACTTGTGCTTGCTAATAGCTCCTCACAAATACTATATTGGATTCCGGTACGTCCATCCTTTAACAGAAGAAGCAATTGAGGAGATGGAGAGAGATGGACTACAGAGGGCTATCGCCTTCACGCAGTATCCACAGTACAGCTGCTCAACCACAGGTATGGGCATGTCTGTGACAGTGGGAAGGTGGGTACGGCCCTGGCAAAGTTAACTAGGTAGTCCGAGTGGTAAAGGAAGGATTAAGTCATCATTTGTGGTTTGTGTGCTGAATCTTGCCTATCCCCTTTAAACATTCCTGTCAGTCCACTTGAAATCTCGCGGTTCTTCTCCTCCTTGAATTGTTCCCAGACAGCTAAGAATTGCAAATGGCTGTGGAAGGTGGTGGTGCAGGTGTTCAGTGCTTTGGTGCTGCTGGATAATACATCAGTAGTGAATGTTAAGCCACTGGCTAGTTTGTATCAAACTTTATTTTTATGGTTATCCTGATATTAATGTAGCAAAAGTGATAGCACTTTCCATTTTGAAAGCAGTGATGCTCTTGTAGCATGGCAAATACTTGTGGTTTTTTTTTTTTGTGTGTGTGTGTTTCATTTAGTTGTTTGCTGCTTAAACTAAAAACTAGTTTGGGGTTCTCTTTGCAAGCTTTTCTCAGCGTTCTTTGAGATTTGAGAAAATGTTACGGCTTGCTGTTCCCCATATATTTAGCTGAAGCCAGAGAATAATCTTTGCTTGGCAATGTCGGTCTTGTTAACTTTGGAAGCACTTAAACTTTACCTGCAGATATATTTGTTTGCATTCACTTTCAAGGATTGATGTCAGCACACCCTTACTCCCAAATTGTTTTTAGATATTCGTGCTTATTATTTCTGTAACTGCAAGGAAAGACGAAAGGCTTCTGGGAGAAGCATTAGGAGTGTGTTGTATGCCTTAAAGATTTGTCCAGAACACTTGCTAAAATGCTTGAGTTCTCACATAACCCTCAGGAGTTTGAATCATGACTTCTTTTGGAAATATACTTCTATAACTTCAAAATATCTGGTAACAGCCCTGGAGGATAAGCCAGATTGTAGCGTTTTCAAGCTATACTTTTGTCTTACTTTAAAAAATATACCTCAGTTAAGAAGATTATTTATCTGACAGAGGATTGGTTATGGATTTAATTTCACATCTGGCTCTTACAGTGTGTTTAGAACTTCAGGCATGCTCAGTTTTTCTCCAGTGCAGTGCTGTGAACCTGTGGCACACGAGGTGCTGAGGGTACGCAGAGCCCCGTCTGTTGGCACGTGAGCCAAGTTGCCCCGGCATCACCCCAGCAGCCGAGCATCGGATATTCAGGTTTAATTGCAGTGTTGGCACTTTGTGATAAATAAGAGGGTTTGAGGTTGCAGTTTGGGCACTTGGTTTCTAACAGGTTTGTCATGACTGCTTTAGGGCATCCTGTGTGAAATGACAGATATATCTTTACTTCTGAGGTACAAAAGCCCTTGGGAAACATTTATTCCTTTAGGCCACTAGAGCATCATTTATCTATTGTGTCTTTCAGACACAAACTGTTGTAGAACCACAGAGATGCCATGATATCAGATAGATACCATGTATCCATCATAAGCACTTTTCTCAGTCATATTCTCCCCTTCTTAATTACTCTTCTGGTTCGCGTACTGGATGTTTCCAAATGACCTGAAAGAGGTAATGTAGCTTCCAGAAGAAGTCTTTCTTTGTATCTGAAAATGACTTTCACCTGTAGAAGTCCATCTGCAATGTGAATGTGGTGATGACTACTTTGATTTCTAGAGAGGTTGTTTTTGATCCTTGAACAGGTTGAATTCTCTTGACTCACTTTATTCTGCTCATCAAAATTGATTCCATTCTTTTTTTTTTTTGCAAATTGAGTCTTAACCTAAGCATACGTTTGGGTTAAAATGGGCTCAGTTGTGACTCAGCTTTTACATTAGAATCCTAACTGACTAGTAGTTCTTGTGGTCTGAGAACTCCGTGGGCTGGCAATAGCAGGCACGCAGTGTTGGAACTTGCCTTGTGTTGAGACTGAGGAAGACGACGTAGTTAGGGTTGGTTCATCAGGTTAGCTTTGGCCCCCAGTGCCATCTCCCCCGGGCCAGGAAAAAGCTGCTTTGTGGTGGCACCGTCTGGCTTGCAGTACTCATGATGTCCCTCTCTTTCTTAGAAATACACATTTTGTTAGCTGACTGTAAGGATTTTGTGTCCATTTAACTTATTCTAGGGAATAATGGTAATTTCGTAGAAACAGATAAAATAGAGAGTGCTTGTGAAAACTTCAGTAGGCTGCTTGCCTTATCATGATGCCTTTTAAAAGGTTGGTTTTAAAGCTTTTATTATAAAATGGAGAATACCTCGGAATATTGGCCCAAATACCAAGAGCCAGTATGCACAGTGTTGCTTATATGCTAACGTCAGGACTTTGTAAAACAAAGCAGCTAGAAAGAGAACTGAAAATGACCGTGTTAGAATAAAACAATGTCTATGTTAGCACACTAGGAGAGTGGCTGATTTCTTTTTTCCTTCCTTCTTCACCCTCTACATTTTCTGTACTGGTGCTGATTACCTTCATAATAGGAAAAAATTTTAATATGATTTCAGTTGTAAGGCGTGAGCCCTGCAAATACAACTGCTTACGTTTCGTAAATCTACGACTTCACGTTTCTCACTAGAAATGGCCGCCGTAATCATGGCAAGTCTGTTGGAATTGATTGCTTTTTAGTGATCTTCATCTGCAGGGTTGTTAAATCCATATGCATTTTAAAGTATTGAAAAGATTGTAATTAGACTGGGATTCTGTATAGAAGCAGTTACCCACTTTGAACTTATAATTACTGCCTTTACAAGTCTGTGTTTTATTTTGACCATAATCAAAATGTATCAATTAATTGGCCCCCTGTATGTTTCAGGCAGCAGCCTAAATGCCATCTATAGATACTATAATGAGATGGGAAAGAAGCCTACGATGAAGTGGAGCACTATTGACAGGTGGCCCACACACCCCCTCCTCATCCAGGTGAGCCGGCGCCGGCCAGCCGCCCGTCACGCAGCAGCGGGATCAGTCAGTTCTTGTCTCTGTGTAGTTTGTGGTGTCCTTCCGGGCCCTATGGTTCTCTCACTTAAAGTATGTGCTGGAGATTTTTTAAAAAATGTTACATTTTTTTACATTTTATAAAAAGAGGAAATTTAAGGATTGAAATAGTTACATTCGTTTTTTTCCCCCAGATTACCATTGTTGGTGCCCAATCATAATGAAATTAGATTTTGAATTTTGTTTCCCAGGGACCAGAAGAAAATTAAGGATTATTGTACATGGTATTTCAGCTAAGTTACAGTCATACATTTAATGACTGACAAGTAAATGAAACCCTTTCTATTTATTCATTTATTTATTTTGTCTTTTTTGAGACAGGGTCTCAGTATGCAGTTCAGGCTGGCCTTGAGCTCACTTTGTAGCCCAGGCTGGTCTTGAACTTGCAATGCTCCTCCTGTCTCAGCCTCCCAGGTGCTGGAATTACAGGCACATGCCACCACACCCGACCCACCTTTTATTTTCTAAACCCTTTAAAATGTCAAAAGATTTTATTATAACTTAAAGGTAATATGTAAACATGTTCTGAGACATGAAATTAAACATTTCAATGGAGAAAAGTTTTATAGATTAAAAGATGTTTCCGATTTCTTCTGTACAACTTATAATATTAATAGGTGTCAATGTTAGGAGAATCAATTAAAAGTACAGTTCTAAAGCCAATATCTTTGAATTGGTGTTATTTTATTCTTTTCTGCCTTTCAAACATGAGAGGGTAAAATGTTGCCCAAATCATGCAGATAGTTTTTTTTGCATCATATAAGTTTCTGATTTTGTTATTTCAGGTGGGATAAATAGGAAATGATTTAGATTTCATCCAGTTTATTTTTTGTTCTTTGACTATCTCTGGCCTCCAACAGAATAACCCATCGTTTCAAAAAAGCTTGGTGGCACTTCAAATCTATAACACTAGGTGGTGCTAGACATCATTAAAAATCAGGCCTGCTCTTCCTGGAATAGTGTCCGGCCGGCATGCGAAGGGTTAAGCTGGGTGGGGGTGGGTGTTGAACTCCAGTTCAAGTTGGAGATGAAAAGGAGCTCCCTTAGGGCTGAGTGTCCCTGTGGGATCTGCGTCCCCACCCTGGGGTCCAGCAGCTCTGCCCCAGAGGCCTGCATGCCCTGACTGCGGCTCCCGGAGGCTGGGTGGGGAAGGAGGGAGTTGCAGGTCAGCTCCGACATGTGGTGCGGGAGTGGGGATCTGCACAGCATCTGCCTGCCCTGATCGAGGGAGTAATTAGATTTGCATTAAAATTCAGCCCTTTGAAAACGGGGGAAGCAGAAAGATGGAAAGGTCTCTTAACTGAGGAAGTCTCTGTTCATAAAATGAAAGGGAATTTTAGAGGCATTTATCCGCCCCCCCTGGCTGGAGTGATTGAAGGCTCTGAGAGCCGCGGTGCCTCTTTCATTCCGCGGAGGGGGCCGCGCGGAGAATCCCGCAGACGGGTTTTAGGTGGTTTAAGTAGCACTTCTGCTCGCCCAGGGCACCTCGGGTTTGAAGATGGCTTAGGAACTGTGGCAAACCAGAGCACAAACCAGTTGTGCTCTTACTTGCAATTTTGCAAGCTGAAAAAAGGAAAACAAAACAAAAAACCCTAAACTCTGGGTAAGATAATCCATGTTACTTGAAAATAGTCATTTTATTGCTGTTGTCTCTAATATTCCTGGTTATCTAGGTGCTCGAATGATTGGAGTAAATTTATCTCAAACTTCTACATTAACTATGCAGTGGCCTCCTATTGTCTAAAAATAATCCTTTCTGAGAACTCTTAGTTTCTAAATACTGCAAAGACCACCAGAAAATATATTTTTGTTTATATCAATACTATCACATTTACTCAGATAAATTGTGAATTCTGAACATGGAGCTTAATTCTAGGCACTATTTGGTGCCTTGGCACATTTGTTTCCTAAATTTTTGAGAGTTCCACAATGATTAATATGTCAATATTTATTAGATGCTAATTTATGCATTCTATAGTAACATCGACTGGCCATTGATATATCAAGATACCAGCAAGTGCAAATTTATATGGTTCTGCTAAATCGCCTTTATAATTTAATTCTTTTTTTTTGGTACCAGGAATTAAACTTGGGACCTCGTGCATGCCAGGCAGGCGTAATTTCTTGAAAATCTTTTTATTTAGAAATAGTTTCAGACATGCAGGAAGTTATGAGCTTCAGAATAATATAAGGACCTCTCATCCATTCTTCACCTGTACTCACATTATTAACATTTATCTACTTGCTTTGTCATCTGTGTGTTGAATGTGTATATGTGTGTCTGTCTGCATAGATAAACACATACACGCACATATATTGTTTTTTCTGAATATTTGAGACTCAGTTTTGTGTATCTTGCCATTCTGTCCACCTGAATGAGGATGTATTTCTTAAGATCACAGCTCTTGTCTTAAAATAAGTACAACATTCAACATCAGTAAATTTAACATTGATACTCAGGTTTTACCTAACTTCCTTTCATATTCCAGTTTTGTCAGTTGGCCCGTTACTGTCATTGGTAGCACTTTCTCTGTAAGTGAAATGACAAAGAATGATTAGAGTGGGAGATGAAAGCAAGCTCTTCAGAGCTGGCCTATCAGCACCTATGGGTGGATGGGAAGGGGCGAGGAGACAGGGAGGGAACTGGCCTGGCGGACAGAGGTGTGGTGGAGCTGGGACCTGTGTTGCACCTGGGTTCACAGATAGGGTACCCACCCCCAGGGCCAGCATATCTTCTCCCCTCTGTGCATTTCACAGGGATTGCACAGCCTGGCGCCTGTCATTCGGTAGGTTGTGAGGAAGACTGCCTGTGTGAGGATCCTGGACTCAGGAAGATGTCATAAAAATAGAAGAGTATTTTCTTATTTCTCTCCTATTTCTGGCTAATGTATTTTAATGTGACTGAAAGCCAAACGAAGGAAGATTTAGAAAGACCCTGTAAGCTGTTTTCCTGCTAACAGAGCAAATGAGAGGTCTTAAAACAACTTCTTCCCATCTGTGTTTCCTTTCCATCTGGAAGTGTGCCCTGCTCTTCCCGAGGGGAAGCAGATCCACAGCATTCATTTGCAGTGAGCCATTAGCAAGCTTTAGAAGTTTCCCATCAAATTCCCTTGGCCCCTGAAACCGTTATGATCCATTTTGACGATGAACCAAAGCAAAGAGACTGTACTGTTTGTAATTTTTTAAAGAGTGTTCTGGTTTTCAAGGGTTGTGCCCAGATTTTTGGTATAGCTCTCATTTTTGAAATACTTTCTTTTCTTCCATGTCTTTCTTCCCACTTACCCCTCTCCTCCTTTCCTGGGCTTCCTGCAGTGTTTTGCAGACCACATTCTCAAAGAGCTGGACCATTTTCCACTTGAGAAGAAAAGCGAGGTGGTCATTCTATTTTCTGCTCACTCTCTGCCAATGTCTGTAAGTAAGAATATTTTGTTGGGTGACCTAATGGTAGGGGGTTGTGTTGTTTCATAAATGTGTAAAATGGTCCCAGCTCCATTATGTCCAAAGCCCAGTGTGAGAATGAATTACAAAACCGCAGATTTAACTTGGTGCTGACTTAATTAAAGTCACTTCTTGAAACCTCTCCTAACCCAAATTAAAATATTATAAACAGATCTCTTCCTAATGCTCTTTAAAATGATACTGGAAGATATAGTACATTCAAATAGAAGAATTTCCAGTAAGTGGGACAGTTAAGGAGACTGTGTGCTCAGCCTTGCGGAGGAGCTCGGCCTGAGATTTGTGTGTATGGAATTGTTTAGCCAGCGTTGCTTCACAGCGGCACTCTCGACTTGACAGGAGCTGTATGAATTCTAGGAAGCAATGGTAGTTTCTAACTTACTAAGACTGGGGATCACCATTTGGCCAATGACTATCTAGTGATCAGGTTGTGATCTAGTTTCATCTTACTTAGTCCTATTGCACCAGGTCATTCATTAACATACAGAAACAGTGCCATGGCTGCTGCATTTTTGGAAAGAAGATGGTCAAACTATAGGTTGAGAATATAGCTCAGTGGTAAAGTACTTACATGGCACATGTGAGGAATGGGTTCAATTTCTAGCATCCCCACCCCAAAGATCAAACTAGTATGCTGTATAATACATACATAGAGTCTTAGAAAAAGTGACCAGTTTCTTCAGCTCAGAACTATCATTGTGAAGGCCGGGCATGGTGGCGCACACCTGTAATCCTAGCACTTGGGAGGCTGAGGCAGGAAGATCGTTGGGAGTTCAAGATCAGCCTGGGCTACACAGTGAGCTCAAAGTCAGCCTGAACTGCATAGCGATACCCTGTCTAAAAAAAAAAAAAAAAAAAAAGAATTATCATTGTATCCTAAAAAACATTGCTTTCCAAGTCAGAGACGTGAAGAATTACACTGTTTTAGGTGTGATTAAGATTTAAAGTCCACAGTCAATGGCGCACCCTTCTCCCTGCGCCGTACTGCCACCTGGTGGCCACCAGCGTCAAGACCTGTGCAGTTTCTCTTTTCCTGTACCTCAACTGGGCAATCACCACTTCATCGGTAGATGGCTCTGGAAAGGAATTTCTCCCTCCTGGAAGCCTGCCTACTTCATTTTTACAGGATCATACTCTCTTTTCTGGCATCATGCAGATCTTTTCGCGTGTCCGTCCTGTGTGTGGCGAGACCTGAATGCAGTCAGAAGAACATTTTACATTGTATTCCTGGCACTGTTCTGTCACAGGTTATGGGAATGAAGAAAACAGATAAAAGTGTTCGTCACTGGAGAAGAGCAGGAAAAGATAAGACACGTAGCACATAAGAAGATGGTGTGGTAGCTCAGGAAATAAGAGACGTCATGGAAGAATAAAATAGGCTAAGGGGGTTAGGGAGTCAGGACATGATGAAATTTTAAAATAGTTTAAAAAACATGTACTGTATTGAACATTTTCAAAGGCATTAACAGACCTGTTAGGAAGCCAGTTAGGCCTAATTAACATGTTCTATGAAGAACATGTATCAAACATTCACTGTGTGCAAAGCACTTGACTACTGTCCATTGTTATGAGAAGAGCAGATGAGAAAAAAGAAGCAGAAGGTGTGGGTCCTATTCTTGAAGAGTCTGCAATCAGCCACACACACCTTCCTGTTCCTCCTGAGTTCCGCTGTTGTCTACCATAAACTCCATCTTATCTCTGCGCTTTAGCACACTGCCCATATTAAACTCTTCCAATGCCTGCTTAAAATCCACCACCCGTGGTACTACCAAGGCGGGTATTTCCATCCTATATTGACTCTTCCACTCAGATTTTTTGGTATTGTTTCCCTTTTTTAGGTTGGGAGATAGAAAAAGCCATCCTCTATCATTAGACATTGTCAATCTTGTGCTAATAACATGGAGCGTGGAATCTTGTATCTTCTTGGGGACCTCAGAGATGGTGGAGCATGGTGTTTTCTTTGGCCATTGAAGAAGTGCAACCAAGAGAGCTCTGTCATTGCTCAGATCATTCATAGGTGGTTCAGGAGACAGAAAGTGATGGCTTTGGTCAATGGCTAACCCCATGTCACAATATAATCAGAGGCTCTTGGAGCCCTTTGTAATGTTGGCAACTGAACACTCTTTTGTCTCTGCTGCAGGTGGTCAACAGAGGGGACCCCTATCCTCAGGAGGTAGGCGCCACTGTCCACAAAGTCATGGAGAAGCTCAGTTACTCCAACCCCTACCGACTGGTCTGGCAGTCCAAGGTAGGTGGCTTTCCCACATTGGTGACACTCAACTCTGAAAAAATCCATGTTAGGGGTGGTATGTGCCTGTGATCCCAGTGCTCTGGGAAGGTGAAACAGAAGGATCACGGGGCTGGGGATTTAGCTCAGCAGCAAAAGCGCCTGCCTGGCAAGCGCAAGGTCGTGACTTTGGTTCCCGGTACCAGAGAAAAAACAAAAACAAAAACAAAAACAAAAAAAAAGAAGGATCACCAGTTCAAGTGTAGCCTGGGCAGTTTAGTGCTGTAGTGAGACCCTGTCTCAAAATATAAAATAAAGGGCTAGGGATGTAGTTCACTGTGGAGGCCCTAGGTTCAATCCCTAGTCACTTGATTGCTCACCGAAAGAATTCTGCAAACAAGTAAGATAGAAAAGAACAAGTGATTAGTAGAATTCTCCTGGTTTAATGTTTTATTTTTAGATTTAGAAACTACTATTTACTTATACTAGGTTGACCTCTAGAATGAGTCAGACTTCAATGCAATGATACAAAACCCATTCAAACAGGTGTAAGAGTGATTCTTACCCCTAATGGGTGAGTGGGTGTGCCTGGGTAGGAGACAGTGGGTGCTGTAGACTCATGGGCAGAATGGCCCATTTACAAACTCATTCTTCTCTTTGATAGGTTGGTCCGGTGCCCTGGTTGGGTCCTCAAACAGATGAGGCTATCAAAGGACTTTGCGAGAGGGGAAGGAAGAACATCCTTTTGGTGCCAATAGCCTTTACCAGTGATCACATTGAAACACTGTACGAGCTGGATATTGAGTACTCTCAGGTGTTAGCCAAGGAGGTAGGTGCTCTCATCTGGCTTATTAATCTCACTGTGACTTGTTTTAACAGGAAATGTTCCCTTCAACTATCGGTGTCATTCCAGATTATTATTTACTGTGTGTGTTTGCATGTGCTGTGTCCTCACCATTTTGAATAATACTGCATCAAGTAGTGATCTGAACACATTGAGCTAATGTGAGTTAATTCAGTGTCAGTGGAAGGAGAGGACACCTGTCCCCTTACTTAACCAGGTAGCCAGCATCACCTTGCTGAGTTAGTTACTGTACTGCACAAAAGTAGTAACAGCTACTGTTCTTTAAGGAAAAAAGAATTGTACACCTCACCACTTCCAACAGAAAGATTTTTCGTCCTATATTTCTTCTTCACCTAATACAGTCGTGTCCTTGCTTGGGCTGTTACAGTCCCCGTTGGGTTTTGAGTCATAGGAGACATTGTCATTTCATGGAAGCTGTGCGTGTTGTAATTTCCTTGACCTCTTTTATGCACTCAGTTAATTAGCTTTTTGCTACCATGTTGTGATCAATCTGATTATTGAAGTAACAAATACCACCCTTGGCGTTTTGAAACATAAGATGGATGTGAATTGTCATTCAGTGTAGAGGAAAAGCTATTGCCTACCTATCTTGTGACTTCCAAGCCCCACCTGAAACTTGCATCTAGTTTATAGCTCTGTTTCTGTGGGAAGTGTGGAAGCACAGGAAAAGCAGCCTTTCTCTCTTTCTCTTCGGCTGGAACTCCTGGTCATCCTGTGTGACTGACAGATGGAGGCCTGGCCTGGCAGAACTCACGCCCTGCCCAGGGTGTGTGATGCGTGTAGGACAAGGTGGAAAGTGGGTGGGGCCTGATCTTGAGCAGTCCCCAGCCCCCTGTTCTGTGCACGTCCATAGTGGTCATCAGTCAAATGGGTGACGTTCAGGAGTGCCCAAGTTTGCTCATCGGGAGTTATGAAAAATAGTTTGTGAGCAGATTGTGATTGGTGAAGATGAGGTTGTAGCACTGTCCACAGGTTTTCTTTTGTGAAATCTCTGTATGCCATTGTATCCTTGGCTAATTGTGAACTTGCTAAAAGGTAAAACAACTAGGCATGGTGGTGCATGCACACCTGTAATCTCAGCACTTGGGAGGCTGAGGAAGGAGGATTACCACAAGTTTGAGGCCAGCCTGGGCTACAGCGTGAGTTCAAGGTGCAGCTGAACTGCACAGTGAGACCCTGCCCTAAAAATAGAGACAGTGAAAATTTATCTCATACTGTACTCATACTGATTCTTGTACTCATACTCGGTCTCATGCCAAGTCATATAGGTTTGGAAAATGAGTCTTTATCTGCATCGAATGATAATTCACATTCATCCATATTCCTAAACTGAGATTATTTAATAATCAAAGAGATTATTAGTGACTAATAAATTAGTCCCTCTAGAGGATAAAGAGAACCATCTAACTGTAATTTATTTCATTATCTTAAGAGAATATAGTATGTTTAAAATAATTAACTCCAAAAGTTTAAATTTTTTTTCCCAAAGTAGAAATGACTTTATTGCTTTTTTGATAATAAAAATAGTTAGGATGTCAGATGGTACAGAGCAGTATATGAGATCTGATCACAAAGTACAGCAACCTTTAAACTAAAAATAAAGACACATTTATTGCGTTCAAAGACACATTGCCATTAATCTCCCACAAAATACTCCCCATCACTTCAGATGTGCTTCTCCTGTTGTTCTTGCCATTTTCTGAGGCGGTTGGGAACTCCTCTCTCATGAGTGTCTTTCATGGCTGCTTCAATGTCCTAAATTGATTCAAAATGTTTGTGGCAGTAGCTGTCCAATAGAAACACGATGGTGAGTCCTCATCCGCAGTACTCAACAGATCTGGCACTGTGCAGCTTCTGGCTCTTCCCCAAAGTTACAGCAACTGTGAAAGGTAAACATTTTGAATCAATTCAGGACATTGAGGCGGCCACGACAGAGTAGCTAAAGATGCATGAAAGAGGACTTGTAGAACTGCTTCTGAAAGTGCAAGAACGACAGGATAAGTGTGTTTGAAGTGACCGGGAATATTCTGAGAGGGATTAATGGCAATGTGTCTTTTACTGTAATAAAATTTTTAAAAGATTTTTTTTTGTACCTCATAGCATAGTAAGTGAAACACATTTGTAATCTTTCCCCTCAGCACATCTGTTAATATTTTGATAAAACTAAGTCCCTTTTTCTTTTAAATGTGTGTGTTTTTGAAAGAACAGGCTTCTCTATGTTTAACAAAAATGGTAGTTCAGGGGGCTGGGGATTTAGCTCAGCGGCAAAAGCGCCTGCTCTGGCAAGCGCAAGGTCGTGAGTTCGGTTCCTGGTACCGGAGAAAAACCAAAAAAAAAA